AAATTATTTTCTCTCACGACTTGAACAACAGACACAAGCCTCTAGATGGTAAATAAGTCTTAGAGTCTTAGAGGGAAAAAAGTTTTCTTGGCCACTCAGAAACAACAACTGTACTAAGAGACTCAGTATCAGGACGGCCCTATAGTATGTGAAAAGGTTGAACTGCCTGACAGTGACCGACTACTCCTTGAAAACCACACCAACTCGATGCAAGCTTTCCTGGGTCTCAAGCCCTTACACCTTAGAGTGACGTTCGTTGCCCAGAGAGCGGGCTAAGATTCAACCTCGTGAGGAACTGGAAGCCGGAACAGAAGGACGGGATTGGGGCTACCTTATGCTTTCATATACCATAAGAACGCAAATTCCTACAAAGGACGACGTACTCTATGTACGCTCTGTATGAGACAAGATACTAACCAAACTACAGAGACTTAAGCTGGTGTATGGCAGATCTATTGCAGCATATATATTTGTCCCTTGGGGATCTACCCCAGTGTATTCCAAACAGAGATTTCCAACAGAGGGTACTCGGATAAACGCATTTATATTTGAAACGACAATTTCTGTGAGGATGCTACTTGACGACCAAGAGACACTAACAATACTGATGGAATGTAATTCTTTCGCTCTCGTCTGGGTACCTGCTCATGGGGGTATTGAGGGCAACGAGATGGCTGACACATTGGGCTGGACCCGGTTCTGGAGACCTCTTGGGAGAGCTTACTGACACTGAAGCAGTGCCAAAAGTGGACCCTCAGTTTCATTCGCGCCCAACTACGAACGCTGGTAGAAATCCGAACCGAAGAGAGGAAAAAAAAGGTACTTTAATATCATGGTGGTGGACAATGACAGTACATGCTGCGGACCACTAGGGGTAACGGATTAAGAGTACTAGGAGTTCAATTCATTAAACCCAAGGAACTCTCCGAACTCGCCATGAAAGAGGTACTGTACTTCCTGTAGTTTACGGGGCTCCTCTAGGGGATCGAGGCAAGATGTGTGGACATAATGAACGGAACGTCCGAGTGCAGCATCATGGCCTTAAGCTCAGGGACGCCCATATTTTTCTACTCCCGTCTGTAAAATACCTAATTACACACCGATCTACCGTGCGGGAAGCGTCACTTTACCACGTCAGTTTCGTTGCCCATTAATCCGAGCCACTTCGGACATTTCCGGGATTTTACCGCACGGATTTGGGAGCAGTGGGATTTGTTCGGAGATATTTCCCACGCTTTGAATTTTGACGTTTGTCAATTCTGACGGTCATGTCAGTGAATATATTCGTGTTGTTTTGCGAAAATGTAGCCAAAAACTAGAAATGAGTAGAAAAAGTATAGTATGATGAATGTATACAATTATATAGGCTTTACTAATCCACTCATCAGGTCAAGTTTTTATACGTTCATATTATAAAAGTATAAACTTTGGGGTATTATTTCTCTCATTTCTGCTACTACATATGTTTTTGTACGTCTTCATTGCGGCTATTTGATTTCAGGCATTGATAAGCAACAACATAATTATAAATTTCTTCCCATGTTCAATATGGTGCCGGTTGGATTTTCTAGTCACTGCATGTATAAAAAGGACGACGCGATGGACATTTCATGAAAATGGTTATTGATTTAATCTCTTGTCTGTAAACAGTTAGGTTGAAAAACCCAGGCTGGCAAAATTGTTTTAAACTAGCACTTGACCTTATGTCAGGGAAACCTTATAATTTGCTTATAATTTTAACCTTTAGGCGTTTATGGGCGACACAGGAATATTTTATGCGCTAGCATAATTGCCTTGTTTTACGCAAATTATAGAATGGAATATATTCTTTGCGAACTTTCTCTCAATAATCTTTAAATCGCCTTTCAAGTGTAGTTATAGTTATTATAGTTAATATCAACTATATAAGGGGAGTTTCGTTAACATGGTGAAAAAATTCAAGAAACCAAATTGAATTGAATTTAAGGATTTGTGTCGTTAGCAGAAATATCCTCTTTTGTGAACCGAGTAGATAATCATGACAATCTTTATTTCCATTTGGCGTTTCAGGTATCAGATAACGCCAAATGAAACACTTGAACAATTATGAATTATGCATGAAGCAGTTCCAGCGTTTTACTAATTACAGATGCATTCCAGGCGAAGTTACAAATAAATTGGAAGAAGTTATAAGCATAAAAAAAATTACGGTGTACACTGTTCGCTTGGTCAACAACAATCTTAATTACTATAATGCAATTATATATAGTATTAGACTAATTTTCCGCTGCAGTCCTAAAAGTTTTATCATTTTTTTGTTCAAGTGCTAAGAGACTGCGGGTTGGATCTCTAAGTGTGAGGTATATAAGATCAGTTTTATGATAATTTAAAATTAACCGATTGGTTCGAAATCTTTAGTAGCGCCACAAGACACAACTGCAACGTCTCCAGCAATCAGTTGCATATTTTTGTAACCTAACGAGGAAGTCTCTAATGACCGCCATTTGTTGCAGAAAAAAACTTTTTCCTTGTTATTCTTCGGGCTTTTGCAGTAGTTTGGCAACTGGTTTATATAGTAGATAGTTTTTTTTTATTTTTGAATACTTACATGATTGCCTAATATCCCTCCTTATCTATTTTCACTTACTTTTTCCAAAACTGTGGCCAGGTAATAAATATTTTGTTCTTTTTTTTAAGTTTTGCTTATTTTTGGTTAGTTGGAGTTTTCAAAACGTTGGCATCAAATTATTATAATTTTAATTCGGTATTTAAAAAGTGTACGTATTTAAGGAATTACGATATATAAATGATAAATTGTGTCTCAATACTTTGTTATTTTTTTTAAATATAGTAATATAATTTAATATAGTATAATATATAATAATATAGTAATATAATACAGTAATAAATATAGTAATAATAAATATTTAATACTAATTACGGTCATCTTAAATCGATTTAGGAAATCCAATTAAAAAAAAAGCAAAAAAAATTCAATACGGTTTGGTTCGCTTATTTAAGCCAGAAATAGTAAGCAACGAATCGCATAAAGCACAACCGAAAGAAAAATAAGGCTTCCAGGATACCTAATTAGTTTAACAAGTAAACGTTCCATTATTTCAAACGCTATCTTATAAAGGTGTAACGCCTAATTGATAGGTATTTTTCAACCGCATTCTCGAATTCTTATCTAAAATCGACAGGCTCATTTATAGCCCCTCTGTGCGCGGTGTCATAATTAATTCTCCCTCGGAAAGCGCTACTAAATACTTTGATAGCCTTAAAGCTGTATCCTGACTAGACTAAAATTCTTATTTATCAACGGGATAGGTAAAACACAAGGTTATTAAAATGTTCTTTTGGGATATATAGTGTGTTTCAAAAATTTTGTTGCAACGTTTTTGCAAGGGTGTATATTCCAAAATACAAATTTCAGTGTTGTTTAAAAACATTCTTGTTCTAATTTAACGAGAAACAAATTTAAAATATTTTTTGGTCTTCGTTAACTTTAATTAAAATTCTTAACGAAACAATACGGAAAAAAATATGCTTTGACGCCTATTTCCACTCTGAATATTTAATGTAATTTCAGATAGTAATGTTTTGTATATTTTTATGTGTTGCCGGGCGTACTTGCTAATTTGTTTAACATTAATATTTCTTATAGAAAATTGTATCTAAAATGTTGATATTGATATGTCAAATGACCTGTATATGTGTCTAATATGGATAAAGTAATGTCGTATCATACCGGACAAAATAAGTGCCTGTTTGGCTAAGATTTATTACACGTAAACCACAAAATTAAAAAAAAAAGTAAAAATCGAACCTAAATTACATATCAGTAGATATACCTTTATCAACTTCTATAACAACTTATTTTTATTTTACATGACTGACTATCGTTATTGCTTTTTACAAAACTTCTGGATTCCTCCTGCGTCGGTTTTTGCTGAAACTGTTTCAGTCATGCTCTGAAGAAGCCAACAGGATGATTGGCGAAACGTCAGCAATTTCGACTAAGCAAAAACCGACGCAGGAGGAATCCAGAAGTTTTGTAAAAAGCATTACAGTAGCTTGTGGAAGTTTCTTTGAAAAATTGACTATCGTTATTATTAAACATACAATAAATTTATGTGAAGTTTTTCACCTTTTAAAGCTTTGAAATTACACTTGTTAATTGACATTCATTTAAGAGATAATAGACTGACTTTAAATTTAGTATATATTTGCACTAATTAACAAAATTATAAGTAACTGCATATTCTGAGAAAAGTCCTTGCACTATCGACTTACGTTCGAAGAAGATATGTTGTAACGATTGTTATGCATTCGAATTGAAAATGAAACTTTATTAAAAATAAATTTTTGATTAAAAATGCGTGGTTGACAGATAAACTTAATCTATTTATGGATTTATGGATGCGAAAATTTAGAAAGCGTAAAATAGAGCGCCCACCAAAAGAAGTTCTTTTTCAGTATACATTTATTTGAACTTAAGATAACAAATTGTACTTGTTTCTTTTCTGGTAATAATTGAAAACAGTCTATTTCTAGCCTATAATATAATGTCTCGATGAAAAACTAATATGACAGCTTATAACATAAACAGATAGTGATATTACTATTACCGGTAAAACAGATAAGAAAACTATTTCTTCAAAGCAAGTTTTCAGTTAATATCGATCAGATTCTTCATGACGGCGTTACCAAACACTCGTGCCAATATAAAAGCCAACGTCAAATTGTTTTACTTAATTTGGAGGTCAATAATCAATGTCTTAATCTAATTACATCGCAAAACTAGTAGCGCCGCTACCAAGAAATATAAAACAAGGCGCGTTAACGTGAAAGTAGACAAAAATGCGCGAATAGAAGCAAAATCTTCGTCTTGAGTCATAAAATCTTTAATGGCTGTAAACACTTATTATGTTAGCATTAATACAGTCCGATGATTAACCACGCTTCAATGAACATCCTTTCTGCGAAATACGTAAAAATAAAACACTGAATATACTCACAGCGGTCCAATACTAGTGTCTTTCGCAGCGACGCCCTTATAGAAAATCCTGGCCTCTACTTCTCCATCAGGTAAAGTGTTTACAGAAACGAAGTCGGTGATTTCAGAAGCCACCGCAGCGGAGATCAAAACTGCCACCAGGAGGTGGCTAATGCACCTGGGGCACTGCTTCGTAACCTTCCACATTCACCGATGAAAGGGTGGGTTTGTTAACGAAGAAAGTACACTAAGATGACCGGCGCAAGGAAGAAACATGTTAGATTGCGTTTGGTCTAAAAAAAACGAAAATAAACTTGTAATGATTTCTAGGTGACACTGCAATATTTTTGCCGAATTGATTTCATCGAATATTCTATTTGGCAACCCGGTATGTTTAAAACAGGCCTGACGAAGTTTCTTGAAAGTATTTCGAGAATGGTCTGAGCATGCGGTCAAGGTCCGAGGCAGTGCCAAAAATGCGTTGAAAAAATTAATAGGATCCTGTCGGGTTTCATCTTCCGAAATATGAATTTTTCGAGGTTGAAATCTTGGCAAATTATATCTTTTGGTCCATCTACATAATTATTATTTTGCTTATAATTCATAGCGTTTTATTAAAAAACTAATAACTTAATCGCGTAAAGCGTTTTTATAGTTGGTAAATAAATAGTAAATAATAAATAAATAAGGATTTACTTTCAAAAAAATATATTTTTTAATTTTTATTTAAAATTTAAATTTAAAAAATTTAAAAATTTAATTTAATTTAAAAAAAGATCGAGGGTCTAACTCTGCGAGGTACTGGACTAATTAACCACTTGAAGAGAACAACAGAAAATTAATATGCACATATTATTAATATTACTATATCAGAGAATATTAAGCCATCTTTCAGACAAAGGCGACAGGTTTATAAGATGCTTAGGAATAAAGGTTTGAACACTTAAAAGTTTTCAGATATTAGTTACGGATTTATAATATTTATATGTGTTTTAATAAACGGCCTGTCAAACAGTTTCCTCTGTTTCAATGACGACGAGATTCTCGGATGAAAATTACACAAATTGACGAAATTTATGTAACAAATATAAATAAATTCTCTATGTAAGAATTTTCTAGGATACTCTTTATGAAAAAACTATGTTTCTAGGAAAATTAACTCCTTTAATTGAATTTTCTTTGTAGCTTTCAACTATACAGTACCTGCAGTCTCTAACTTGGAATATATATAAATATATAAATCAAAGTTTCTTTTGTCGACACTTCGATTAGTATATTAAATTGATGTAAGAAGATTTAATACTGACAATCGCAAATCAGATATGACTTGACCGACTATTTTTAATCCAACGTTAAAATTTAACATAAACGTGACTCATCAAGCAATATGTACTCTATGTTTACTACAACAATCCTGTTTAGTAGATAATAATAAATAATAACTAAATTTTGTGTTCTCCATAGCCAATCACCAGTAAAATTTCTTGTAGGTTTCAAAGAATTACTGAATTTGGTGCAGTTTTTCGACTTGCTGTTATAAAAATGTATAACATATACCTATTGGAGTTCCACTTTTACACTGAATAAAGATTGAATTGAGTTAAATTATATTAATAACCGATGACTTCGTATCTCAAATTTGGGACACGCTGTGTACAATTTTTTAAACAACTAATGATGCTATTTTTTTTTTGCTTATTGTTTAATGGCATCGATTATTTTTTACTCACCCAGTACAACCTTCAAATAAGTTACTACAATAAATATATGAAGTATACAATAACTTAACCACGAGACAACTACACCGTGTCTGAATGTTGTTTTTTCGATGTCCCCTTCTTTTTATTTCCGGCCACAAAAGTTTCTGATTTTTATTTATCCATAAATTAGTTCAGTATTGATTAAATCCGTAAATTTTTGTATAAATTGATATTTAACGTACATTTTTGTTAATGTTAATGAACCAAATTATTGATACAAAAGTGCCCATTTTTATGCGAATTGGATATCCTACCACCTGACGAAATGCGATACCGAAATTCGAAGCCGCAAAGAAATTTTCAACTAAAAATAACTTGTATTCGCACCGTTATATTGAACTTGAAAATTTGCGAAAAATTTTGGCAAAAATACAAAAATATTTTTAAGTAGTACTCACATACCAATATCAGAGTATTAAATAACCAACTGTAAATATAGAATGAGCAAATGAACGCTCATTTCAAGATAGATAATTTGTATTCCAGTATATGCTATATATATATATATATATATATATATATATATATATATATATATATATATATATATATATATATATATATATATATATATATATATATATATATATATATATATATATATATATATATATATATATATATATATATATATATATATATATTTTCCCGTAAAATAAATCCAGTTAGCTTAAAAGCGTAAATATTAAAAAATAGTAAATTATAAAACAACAATAAACATTTAAATAAATTAAACAACAGGTAGGTAAGTAATATTTTGTTGACTTCGACATAACCGTATAAATTTATTTCTACTTTATTAAATTTGTTATTTCATTTTATAATTAGATATTTTGCATTAATTTGGTAAATTGAGTTAAAATTTTGAGTACTTAAAATAAAAGTAAATTTTGCTCCCCATAAACCAGTTTTAAAATTTTAAATATAATGGAAACATCAGAAAATACGGCGAATATAAACCGTTCAGTATTATTTTTAAAAGAGTAAATTTCGAAATTTCGAAGCCAATGAAACCGTTGATAATTATTATTAATAAGCGATTTTCCAATTCGAAAACTATTATATTACATTACATACTCACATTTTCATGGTACCAAACGTCGCCGGCTCACTTACCACAAACGACACAAACAATAATCTAATGGAATAACGATCGAAAAAAAAAAACTGCGGCACAAAAATATCCGAATTCGAAAAAACCGCGCTACGGCGCGTGTATATGCCGCACGTTTCGCCGCCTCCTTGACTAAACTCGATCACTGCCCGCGTGTGCCGTGATACTGAATGATGCACTTTTCGTGGTCTCAGCTTTTGTCGAAGACTTTTAGGATCCTGGTAGGCTATTATGTGGAAGCGCAGCCTGCCGAGACTTTTCTTCGGTAGCCGATTCGAGGACCCTCCTACACGCGATTTTCCGCACGCACCCCCGGATTTGATCCTTTTCTATTGTTGGCGTCGTCCTTAGGTTTTATCGTCCTTGATATTCCGACGCGGCAAGTTGAGTTTACCTTTCCCTACCTGTGCGAGCGTTGAAATCTTCGGCACTCGTAGGGCCACAGACGTAAGGGTCGCGTTTTTTTTAGGACTTTAGTTTTTTTTTAAGTCCATATTTTATTGATGTGAAATTTTACAAATAAAAAAATAGGGCTAATAATGGTTATTGTTGTATTTCTCTTATTGATGTATATAAATGGGAACATTCTCGTTACTTTATTTCTCCAATATATTCTTACCGAAATTATTTGCACCTTATTTTTTGGTAGTCAAACAATATTTTCTTTATATATTTATAAAAAATATACTTTAATCTAATCAAACCTAACATCTTAAAAAAAAATCGAAAAAGGCGAATACACATTGTCGCTCTTAGAAATTGGAAATATTTAAGTCCTCCTAATATTATTAAAAAATGTATTGGCCAAAGGAAGTAATATTTTATAGACTATTGCATTTTGCATGTATTTAGGTAAGGAACATCAAAATACTGAATTAGATTTTATTTTTAAATAATGTGCAGAAATATACGTTGTCATGTCGTCATTCAATTCAAATTAACAATCTGCTTTTTTCGAAAGGTCGAATCCACTGATGTAACTTTCGCTGTTGATGTATATTCAGTGTGACGAATGTGGATCAATTTTAGCTCACGATAAGCGAGGATCTGGAGAAGTACAATACAATAAATTAATTTGCTCAAGATCCTGAGATTTTTATTATCAATGCAAATATACAACTTGTTGAAATACAAATACAAATAAAATACAAAAAAGTAAATTAATATATACTGAGTTTTTCAATAACTGTTCCGCTATGTTCCAGGATAAATAAAATATTAAAAAATAAAGTTAGTTTGGTTATTTAAAAAAAAAAAGTTTATTTAAATTATTTGTAAAATAGTTTAAATGAAATTCATACTGAGTGATCCATAAAAGTTACTGCTGGTAAAGGGGAGGTACCAACTTATTTTACCCCCTAATTTTTGAAGGGGTTATTTTTTTTCGGCAAATATGATAATTTTTAAATAATTTGTTATAAATACTCTTATTCAAAGTCGAATGAATTACTGGGTTAGGAATTATTAAGTTATCAACTAATGTAAACCGAATTAATGAGTCCTTTTAGGAAAATTTTATACGCGAATAATGATTTTTTTAAACACTGACTCTGATCAAGGTCTTCTTTCTATTTGTGGAGTGGCTGATGATAGCCTATACTACAACACTTAGCCTTCAACATATAAAGTTAACCCTACTACACAAAAATGAAATAGTTTTCCGTGCATGCCTCTATAGTTCACCAAATAATCTGCACTTTGAGCCATTTTCAGCGATTCCATCAGTTTTTATCTTATAATATTACCTAATAGTGATTTTCACACACTTAACTCGGAACATTTAACTAGATCGAGGCATATTTTCAGAAGATACTGCCGCAAAAATGCCGCATTCAAACTTATAGGCGATTTGTCCCCGGCCATGTTGGTTGTTGCATGCCTCAAGGTCAGTTGTTAACAACAGAATTTTAAATCTCGCGCATTGAATAAACCTTCTCATTTTTTTTCATACTTCCTCCAAGACAGGTTGCCTAGCGCTTTCATATGATTCGCCAAGCAAGCTTTCTAAGGAGAACTCAATTTTCATTTGTTGGCGTATAACTAGTACACCATCTTGACATTTGGTACATCATGTACAAAGAAGTTCGTGCCCCAAAATCTTGCCCGTGTTGGTTCAAGAATTTTTGCGTTCCGACAAACGGTTCAAGATTTTTGGTTTGATTTTTTTTTAGTACTTCCCGATGAGTTGCCCCTTACTAACCAACCAGCGTAGATACTTTTAAAATATTCGATTTCATCGATTTTTTTAAAGTAACAAGATTCAGATATTGCAGACTAAATTAAAATTTTAAACTTTTTTTTTTAATTAGATAATAGCATCAATAACATCAATAATATCTAGTAGATATACCTCAGTTCAATATTGAACGTTGATTGCGGCCTCTGTAATCGTGACCGTAGATACTCGAAACATTAATATACCGATGTGAATAAATACCAAAACCATCTTCCCACAAAAAATATCTTTACTCTCAGAGTCAATAATGAATTGCCTGACAATTATCAAAGTTTGTTGGTGGTCGTATATTCGAGTTTAATAGCAACATTGTTGAAAATAAAAGGAACTGTTTATACGCTCGTAACTTATACACACAAAAGTACAACTTGTCCGTTACCATATAATGGGTGAGACATATAACACCCATAATAGATTATGTGGTATATCCTCGTCTAAGGTAATTTAATTTCAAACCGTTTTTTTTTTCTTTAAAAATAGTAATCGTGTCACTTGCCCAAATATATGACCGGGTCGTATGGAAAAATTGGACATTCTAACCAACAAGGAAGTAGTTGAGTGGGTGATAAGAAATATGGTTCAACTGCGTTTTATGCCTAGGCCAGTGCCAGAGAAGTTTCGTTTTAAGAAGGTTGGGATTCTTGGATATAATTACGGTAAAGAATAGGTATATAATATTTCACAAAAATACGCACCAGTAATAATTATAAATGCCAATGTAGCAAGCGATCATGCAATAATGGGATATAGTCACGTAACTCAGCCTTATAGCAATTGTTATAATCTACGTTTTTATGACTTTTCAAGATACCCAGCGTGATTGGAAATGAATGTAAAAAACTTCAGCTTATTGTGAAATAAGGATAGCAATTGCACTTTAGATTAACCCATTGCAACGCCTGACATATACCAGCAAAGATTGATGCTTCTGGCGTATACGCGATTAAACTAGAATTTTTAATTGCACCGCAAAAATTCCGTTAACCTTCGTTCGCCCAGCCTCCGGTCATAAAGATCAGTTGGGCGAGTCAATAATAATTGTCATCGGTAGACAATATCTACTCTATATACTCATATGTAGTAATCGTTTCCCTATATTATATTTTCCTAAAATAGTAGATAAGTAGCAAACATAAGTGATTCGATCAATAGCAATTGTGTTTTTCTTTTATTTGTTTGACACTGCAGCTAGAATAATTTGATCAATTTGACGTTGGGTGGCACAAGTTCTTCTCTTCTTCGTTAAGAGACTGCATCTGGTGTGGATGACCCTAATTTAGAGGTGTGTCCAATAAATCTTATATTTCGCAGCGGAGTGTCGGTATGGTCCCTTCCTAAACCTAAAACTTAAATTATTGAATCTAGCCACGAGAAACACTTCACAAATCAATCAGTGTTGAATTGTTTGATTTGTTGTTGTGTTTACAACATATCACATGGTATCGTCACGAGTGATTGATTGATTTTACTTGTTTTACACGTTAGAGAAAAACATTGCAAAAAAAGATAGATAGACATTTTGAAAAGTCCGCAAAAAAACTGACGACCTAAAGCGGTAAATAAATATGAAACAGACACATACAAAACCGCTATTTTATGGCAGCTGAAAAATTTAATTTTTACTATATACCTTCTCTTTAGGCTATGATTTAATTACTCTCCTCAATTACTGGTCACTCGGCAAGAGGCAACCAAATCAAAGTAGTCAACATAACTGAGAACCTCAAAAAGTTATTTGGACATCGATTTGGGTATGGAAAATCTTTTCTTGTATAATATAGTTTTTATTATACTATATTATATATTATACTCTTCAATTCTAACTGAAAAAAATTTATGTACCAAAATGTATATCAAAAATTGATGGAACTGCTTTTGTTTATTATGATCTTTGTGTCTTTATTATCCAAAAAGCAAAGAAACTTTACAATTTAAGCATGAATTTTTTTTGAGAAATAGGATATTAGGCGAAGTATCTACCAAAGTTCACTTTTTAACATCAATCATCAACATCACTCTATATCATTATAATAAAAAAGCCGTTATTCTGTATCTTTTTGCGGTCCAGATAATATGGCCACTAACATATTGGCATTAAACTTTAGGTTGTAAATCAAAGATATAACGAACTAGGCCCTGGTTAATCTTTGTAGCCGCCTCAAATACCTCATTTACCGGCGTTATTTGGTTGAAATGTGGAAAGTTATTGTTACATTTCTCAATAGACAAGAATTATTCCGCGAAAAACGAAACGACGCTGAAAATTTATTGCGTCCAAAAAATAAACAACTAAAGTCACTAATTGTTCCCTGTACACACTACCGATAATTTATTAAACGTGGATATTTGAATTAGCCGATTCTTTAAATTCTTTAAATTTAAATGGCTTTCTCTATGGAGCTCCCTTTTATTGATCGCAATTTTCCGATTGTCGATTCTGATGGCCGGGCGTAGAACATTCGGCTAGCTCGTCACATTATGCTAGTTTACCATTCAGTATATTAAAAACTAAACACGTGTTTACACGTCTCTGCAAATTCACAGCAAAGACGTTGAAATGAGCCTTCATAGGCAGATCCAATAATTTCTTTAATTCTATAAATACGGACTGGGCTCTGCATACTGTCTACAATGTTTGGTCATATTTTTTTCAGTATCCCAGTAAACCAGTGCTTTTCGTGTTAAATAAACCGAAGTAGATAAGTTTTTAAATAATACTTGCGAAAATTTAAAATCTCTGCTCTCGAAACCTCCTCTCAGTATCACAAAACGATATCGTCTTTTAGTGGGCATTGTGCCCCACAGTCGGTTAACCATGGCAAGATATTTTTTGCGGCAAGGGATAAAAAGCTCCATTCATCCTAACCGAAGCACCACTTGTATGTAAATCTTCTATTATGTTACCTTTAAGCGGCGCGTCACGGGTACTGCCCGCTTTTGGTCAGTATGTTGGCGCTCTAAGATGACACATCGACCGTACCGAAAGGCACATGAAACGACACCATTCAAATTCACAATAGGCGAAAGCGATAGGTCAAAAAGCTCTGACAGCGTGGAGATCAGCCTTTATAGATTTCTTTTCTTGCTTCAAGCGTTGAGCTTTTCTGATATATAATCGGTTACTTAAAGTTTATTGTAAACAGATTGATTAGATAGCTTGCCGTGGAAAACGTTATCAATTGTATTTTTTTAATGAAAATTGTACTTGTGATTTTTATTATTGGTTATAAAACAATATGTTAATTTTGCACATTTTACCTGTCGTCTCTATTAAAAGTAACGTTTAAATATAGCAATTTTCAGAATTCAGGTTGTACTATCAAAAGAAAGTTAGTTTTCATAGTTATATTGTTAATCTTCTAGCAATTTAATGATAAAAAATCTGTTTTTTTTTTGTTTTTCACAAATAAAATGAGAACTATCGAGTCAATCATCTTTCACTGCCTGGTCATTTATAAACCACAAATTTTTCTACGCCTTAAAAATAACGTTTGCTATCCTAACAGAATCGGTTTTGCAATAACGCTTTTCATCTCCCTCTCGATATTGAACCCGCCCATCGGCACGTTGACACCATCAACAGTTATTAATTTCAACGTTTGAAGAAATCGCTTTAGTTTCGATTTTCGTAAATATGTCATCGCTAGGTTTATTCTAGAGGACGTCTTTTATTTTTGGTTAGAAAACATACTATGCTGATTTGCTACAAAAAAATCCTCTCACTCACTTTTTGAAGGAAGGGCAGAACAAAAGGATTATTTTTCTCAGGAACTTGTAATACGTTATTATTATAAAATATAATATTGCAATTTCCATATTGGGCAAGAGTTTTATACAATACCAAGGCATTTTTTTCAATCAATGTTTTTATCAAATTATATTTTGTTTTTAACTAATTATTTAAACGGTGAAACTACCTTAAAGATAAACACAAAACTTTTTACCAACGGTGTGCTTTAATTCCATCCACATATTAGGTTTACATCATTTTTGATAGAGAAAATTATTTAATTAAAAATTAGAGTGCTTAAGAAAACAAGAGTTTGCACATTTTTAATCGATTCGTGCACAGCTTTGGTCAGTTTACAAAAATTCGTACCAACTTTGTTGACGTAAATATAACATTATTTATTTATTTATTTATTTACCAAAAAGTTATATTTTGTAAATTGGAATACCTACCTGTATATTACTGCATAAAAAGAAAGGTCCTTTTACGCTGATTTCGAAACTAGATAAAAAGTTAGAGTTATTTACATGAAGACCAGAATTAGCTAAAAATAAAATCGTCACTTAGTTGGCCATGCATTATCATGGCGTCACGCCAACGCCACGTTTCTTGTTTGATTATGACAGTTCTGGCATATCTTGATTGTTATTTTTCAAAAATATATAAAAGGATGATGTTTTCAATTAAGAAAAAATTCGAAATATTATTGTTGTGTATAAAATAGGACAAAATTGCAAATAGGGCAAGACAATATGTTAGATAAAAAATTTATGAGATAATACAAAATATATACATAATTTATTGATTAGGAATATTGCGCTAAATGCTGGAAATGTCCTCCGTTTGATAGCCATTTTTAACTTACCTCGAACTTTGCTTGATTTCTAAAATATTTCGTATAGCTTTCCTTAAAATTCTTAAATAGTCGGATAATTTGGTTATTTTTAATCCACACCAAACCTTTAAGGATCGACACGGCCAGAATGTTTAGCTTCTCAATATTTTCCCAGAGCAGTAGGGTATTTTTTTTCTATTTATAAGAAAAAAATGCTAATCGCTGAGTGTTATTTTCCTTAGACAAATGCTGCTAAGTTTCAAAGGATGAAATTTATTTTTTTAAGTTTTCTAAAGAATTCAATGGGTTTTTTAATAGTTTTTAAAAGTAATATTTCTTATAAGAATTTATTTTTTCTCCATATTGCATTTTTACCACTTTTTAGATACGACAATATTTCGAATTTTTTGTCGAGTGAAAACATTACTATTAATCAAGAATTTTCAACAATAAGAATATTCTCAAGTCTAAAACGGCTTTTCTTTTTAAGAAATAATATACAGGGCTTCTAATTTTAAAAAATATATGAATTTCCTATACCTTTTGGCGCACTTTACTCATTAAACGCTACAACTTGTGTATTTCATTTTTTTTCTAAAAATTAAAAAGTTATGGGGGGATAGATAATATTTATAACGGGTCTCCAATATGCACACACTTTGCTCAGATTTTCTTTCAACACTTTTTAATTTTAATATTTCTGAGATCATGCGTTGTTTTAGCAGTATACACAAAGTATACACCATGGATTAAAAATTAAACGTTACAGCTAAGTAACATTTGCTTCTTTATTAAGAGATTTACGTAAATTGCTGAGTTCATAGATTCATTCTGCGTTTACTAAAAATACTTTCTTCGTATTGATTTTACGACCACAATTTCGTGGAAAATTAATATTTTTTTCGACGCATTCCTTGAATTTGTCCGACAGAAAAATAATTTCAACGATTTATTCGAAAACTTATTTTTAGGAAACTGTACATAAACAACACTTGTAAATTTCTGTTAAATTGATTAGAATGCGTTCGCAGAGTTTATTGAAATTTTCCAACAGAATTATTTTTATTGATATACCTTGAAATGTTGAATTAGTTAGGAACGAAATATACAATACACATTGCTTTTGTAACATGTGCCTGATTAGTTTATTATTGGAAATAAAATGTTGGCGTATTTAAAACTTTCTCGTTCGCGGTCAATATCAAGTCTTACCCCTAACCGATAGAGTGTCTGAGTGGCAAGGAACGTGTCTAGGCGGGGCGAGGGTCGGGGCCATCCCTTCAAACCAACCCTCTGGTGAAACACCCTTAGATTTTTATCAGGCGACCAGGAGATGCGGCTGGTCGGCGAAACGAGGGGGTTGATTTTGCGTGTCTAATAGAGAAATCGCATCAGAAAAATGTTATCAGGAGATAGTGGAGCTTCCGCGTTGGGGTACAATTATTGTCGTTTTCTAGTTCTCTAGAAATATTTAAAATATTTTTTTGTGTTAATTAACATACCGAAAGCTTTAACAATTTGTGGGTTTAATTCTCTATGACACATCGTATGAAAATAGGTTGAATTCGTTTCACGATTATCGCGAAAATCGCTATTTTAATATTTTCGATACGACTAGCGAACTCATAATTTTGTTTCAGTATATTTTTGTACCATTTGTTAAAAAATGCAAGACAAGTGATGACGTAAATATGGACCCATAAAGTTGAAATTTGCTGAATTGAAAAATGAAAACTGATATCTTAACAATTAGTATTTGACAGATCGTGTGGATGTCGAAACCTCACATCTAAAGTTCTTAGAAAATCAGAGCCTTGATTTTCCTTTGCTGCCTTGACGAATCATCAGATTTTTTATATTTTATATTTTTATTATATTTTATATTTCAATTGTTTTTTTATTTACTACAAGATCTTTTTACGTATCAAATGCGAGTTAGTTTAAAGAAAGAAAGTAAAGGATTACTTTTGGATTTAAAGTTAAGATAAACTAATCTATCAAATTGCTATCTATCTCAATGCATTAAATTAATCGAAAAATCAGTTTTGAGAGTGAAAATGAAATAGAAATAAGGCTAAATTTTAAAAAAGTTTTTGTACACCCGTCTGTAAAATACCTAATTACGCACCGATCTAGTGTGCGGCAAGCGTCGCTTTACCACGTCAGTTTCGTTTCCCACGAATCCGAGCCACTTCGGACATTTCCGGGATTTTACCGCACGGGTTTGGGAGCAATTGGATGTTTTCGGAGATATTTCCCACACTTTGAATTTTGACGTTTGTCAATTCTGACCGTCATGTCAGTGAATGTATTCGTGTTTTGCGAAAATGTACCCAAAAACTAACGGTCGTAGAAAAAGTATAGTATACAACACGTTCGGTAAACTTTTTACCTCACTCGTTTATTAAAAACTCGTAAGTCATATGCCGTCTACCGCACTTGTTGCCTAATATACTATTTCTACATTTTGCATTCAAACTTGATAGGCAATTATCAGTTCTGCCTTGTACTTAACGACAAGCGAATGTGAGACCATTTTAGTTCATTTAAATGATAAAAACCGCGGTAAGCCAATAATTTATCGTCATTTTCAATTACATTAAAAAAAGCATCTCTTTGGCATTTTCGCTAAAATAAATAACTAAAAAAAACCTTCACTACTCGAAAGCCACTTCGGACGTTTATGGCGATATTTTCCTTTTTTTTTTGTTTGTCAGTTTTGTGTTTTGCAAAAATGTAGAAAAAAACTAATGGTCATAGAAAGAGTATGCCGGCACGTTGATTATTTTTTTCAGTCACTTATTTATTAAGCACTCGATTCGTTTGTGTCTAAAAAACTCGTGACTAAAGTGGAGTTTATCAAACCCGGCAACAAGCATAACTAGCGTAGCGTTTTAGTTTATTGTTTACTAGATATAACTCCATCTGGTTCTAAATTAAATTGAAAACTACAAAATGTGAAATGACTCTGCGACATTTTTGGCGGGATTCCTGTTGACAACCTCAAACATATGTTTCTCCCTCAAAAACACCTCCTCGTCGAAGTACATGATATCGGCCATGGACTCTTCCGTTATGTCATCATTTTCAATGCATCGAAGGAGCTTTTGCTTTTTATTCAAATCCCTAACGGTTTCGTAACACTGCTCTAAAATGTTTCCCGAATATTTCTCGGAATTGATCATATCCCACGCAGCGTTAAACTTTCTGCTGTAGAATTGCTTCAGTCTACATTCGTTCTTCACGATGTATGCAGCCGTGGTATAAAGAAGACTATTGACGGTTCCATCACATTGGTTTTTGTCTGAAAAACACAGGGCAGTGGTAATTAAAGTAACACTAAATTTTGAATATTATTCAGCAATCATATACCTTCAAAATTAGCGGTCTTTGAATTTCTTTTCGAATATTTTACACGCTTTACCGAAGGTTTGAAAAACACGGTTTCTTTTATCTCTTCTTTGAAACTTTTGTCAGACTTCGCTTGATCTTCGTCGTTCTTTGTTCCTTCTTTACGCTGTGGTAACTGGCTATTATTTTTTAATGACGAATAAGGACTTTCGCTAAAATATCAAAATATTATTACTGTTATCTAGCACATATCTACCTTATTTGAGATGACATTTTCACATATAATTTAGCAAATATTTTGAACACCAATTATAACTTGGTTGTATTAATTACAAAATAAAATTAAAATTAAATATGTACACGGTTTGGGACGTTTGTATCATACTGTTCCACATTTACTAGCCTGGTTTTAATTACTAACTAACGACTAAACGCTGTAAAAGCTTGTCAAAAATTATTTATTTACCATACACCTTAAAATTAGTTCCATTTTATTTATGTCAATTGTTAGGGAAACCGCTAGTACTAGAATGTGAAAGTTCTGACCCATAACATTAAGATTGCTCCAATCTAAACAAATTTTAGCTATTAGGGTTTGCTAAATTTAATGTTTACTAGTTTTATAAATTAACAAGTTCCAGCAAAGTTTTCGAGGCTTTTATATTACTAAAGTTATTATTGCCTTTATAATCTTAGTTACATTCTAATATCTTTGTCATATATACACTTTATTCATTACATAGATACTTTCGTATGTTTCAAAATGCAATTTTTTACACCTCATTATTTAGTACCTAGATACTTATAAGTATATTTCTTGCACATTGCAATTTTTTACACGATCGCAGATTTTTTTGTCAACACACAATACATCGCCTTTTAAATTTGGTTCCTTGCAAAAGGCTTCTCTGCTCAAAGGCAGTAGCAAGCTTCGAGGTATTACTGGTTGCGTGCGGAAATGTCTCTGTTTTCGTATGTATTAATAACAACCATATTATCCAGGTGAGGTTTGTATTGTTATTTATATTGTCTGGTTGTTATTTAATTTTTTTCTAATTTTTGCAAGTGGATTTACAATCCATAGGAAAATACGCAAAGCTGCTAACATAATTATTTTTCAGTGTTTCCCGGCGACTAGCAACAGCGACAATGTCTGCAGATGTGTGCCAGAAGAATCAAACTTCTCAAACTATAACTCAATTTTCAGCAGTTTACGTTACAACGCCCAACGAAGACGTTGCTAAGAAGTTGGCCCACGGTCTCGTCAAGGAACAACTGGCCGCGTGTGTTAACATTATTCCCCAAGTGACCTCAGTGTACCAATGGGAAAATAAGATTCATGAAGATTCAGAGCTGCTACTCATGATAAAAACTAGAACTTCAAAGGTTGATAGTTTGACCGCTTTCGTTAAAGCCAACCATCCATACAAAGTATGTGAAGTTGTTTCAGTTCCCATAACTAATGGAAATGAAGCTTACTTTAACTGGATTAGAGAAGTTGTTCCTGAGAAATAAGTTTAAGACTAATCTACATGTAATATTTATTAGGCCAATCATAAAACTTTTTGTAGAATCTTTAAAATTGTGAGTACAAAAATTGAAGTAATATACAAATTATAAGTTATTTAGGTAATTTATTTGGATTATTAATCTGCTTAACAATATTAATCAGTTTATCTGGTAATGTGTCCCTTGTTTTTTCATTCACCTAAAAATAATTATCATCACAAAAGGTAGAGTAAACCTTAAGCAAAAATAGGTTAATATAGATACCCAAAATACTTGGCAATTCTGATCTTCCTTTAGATGACTTATAATGGGAGGGCCTTTAACAGGAACAGTGGCAATGACAAAAATATCTTTTCTATGTACTAGACTTTTTACTGCCTGTTCAAATTGAGAACTAAACAGTTCCATTTTTCCTATTTCATCTATTACTAAAATTGCATTCTAAAACATAATACCTATGCTTAGTTCCTCTCCTACACTTTGTCTTTAAAAACTTACAGAAACTGAGTGTAACAATGGCAGAACCATTTGTTCAAAATTTTTAACATACACAATATATTGCCCCAAATATTTTGTACCCTCTTGAGGCAGTACACCCCTAAAATAATCTGAATTATTATATATGTGGTATGAAATAATTCTCTTTTCCTTTTATCAGCTAATTGAATTCGTCTATTCTCTTTTATCATAACAATATCAAAACCCATTCTTTGTTTCTGATCGTTTCTGATTTCTTCAGTAAAAAACCCATGAATATTTGCACCCTCTACAGTAATTAACTTTTCTACAATATGTTTGATAACTGTGGTTTTCCCTATTCCTATAAAGAATAAAGTAACCCAGTTTGTTAGAAAATAATGTCATTTTGCATAAATACCTGGAACTCCTGTAATTAAAATATTTTTCATGGCTAAAAAAAAAATCCGTTTGTTTTTTAGTTTTAATTTTGGTTGGTTTGGGATTGGTAGCAGCAACGACTAAGAACAAAGAACTAAGTTTATGGACTGATGAACACACAGATCGGGTTTTGCAATTTAACTACTGCTGTGTAGATTCCTGCAATCCTGTCAGTACGTCATTCCATACATCTTGGCAGAAGAGAGAAAGAGAATCGATATTTGTGTAAAATTAGGCAGAAGTTTATTTGTTTGGCATTTTGCTGATAATAGAATTTCGTTTGCGAATTTTTGTTATGAACAGTTTTTGATCGACGGCACAGCACGTGTAGAAATGTATCTAGTGAATATTGCTGAATAGCGAAAATTGATTTAAATCTAATGTCAAGATGTAGATCCAAAAGTAAACTGTTTGTTCTCCACAATTTTTAGGACAACAGTGTGTTTTAAATAAGGCCAAATTGGTGTTTTGTATTTGAACCTGCAAAATGGACACCATAGGAGAATATGAATACACAACAAAAGATATTTTGGGTCATGGAGCATTTGCAGTGGTATTTAAGGGAAGATCTAAAAAGGTAGTTTTCATGATAGTATGCCCTAATTTTGTATCACTAAGAATGCATTACTTTCAATGCCTTTAACCACAATATTTTATCTCTTTAGGATGCGGGTCATGTAGTGGCTATCAAAAGTATTGCCAAGAAGAATTTAGCCAAATCACAGAATCTTTTAGGAAAGGAGATTAAAATTCTAAAGGTACATTTTCTTTTTATTTAGCATTTGGTATAAAAAGAGTATAATTCCGTAATTGTTTACTCTGATTTCAGGAGTTAACTCTACTCCACCATGAACATGTTGTGGCTCTACTTGACTGTAAGGAAACAACAAATAATGTCTTTCTGGTTATGGAGGTAACTTGTTGAATTAACTGGCTTAATATTTGTGTGTTTACCCATTTTTTGGGAAAACTGCAAATGTTTGAATATTAAACTTGAGGTACCAAAATGTATTTTGATTTTATTTCATTTCAGTATTGCAATGGCGGAGACCTAGCTGATTATTTAGCAGGTAATTGTTAAGCAGTAAATTGCTTCTTCCAAAATCCATTTTTCAGACTTAACTCAAAATTAAATAATTTTAGCAAAAGGAAGCCTTAGTGAAGACACCATTCGGTTGTTTCTAAACCAATTGGCTGGTGCAATGAAGGCTTTACATACCAAAGGAATAGTGCACAGAGATTTAAAACCCCAAAATATCCTGCTTTCACATAGTGGTGGAAAATTACATCCACAGCCTTCTGAAATAAAGTTGAAAATCGGTGAGCGAGCACACAAATTTTTGTTATTTGTTTTATATTTTTGGTTCATTCATCTAGCTGATTTCGGCTTTGCAAGGTTCTTGCAAGATGGTGTAATGGCGGCTACGTTGTGTGGAAGCCCTATGTACATGGTAAATTTTTTTCAATTGAGATGGTAGAGTTGCATTTTATTGAAATAATTATCTAGGCTCCAGAAGTAATAATGTCTTTGCAATATGATGCAAAAGCGGACCTTTGGAGTCTAGGAACCATAGTATTTCAATGTTTAACTGGAAAGGCACCATTCCAAGCCAGTTCACCCCAGCAATTGAAAATGTATTATGAGAAGAATGCAAATTTGGCTCCTAAGTAAGTGGGGAAGTATTACCTCAGGTGGCTGTGACAAGATTTATATTTTCAGAATTCCACCAAGCACAAGTCCAGAACTCCATGACTTATTGATGGGCTTGTTAAAAAGAAATGCTAAAGATAGAATGAACTTTGATGTTTTTTTCAGTCACAAGTTTCTTCAGAGGGTGGAATCTCCATCCACTCAAAGTCCTTTGCAAGGAGGTAAAAGACGATGTTATTACTATAACTTTGCACTTAAAATTTTTCTTGAAGAATTACCAATGCCTATCTATGGATCTTCGCCTGTAAATAAAGTGGTGAAGCCTTCGACTCCCACCAGGGTGCAGGCAGCACCCGTTTCTCAACCAGGTAACGTTGCCAAATTTGGTGGTTTCATTTTTGCTTTTAGAATTAGAAAGCGCTGCAAGTGCCTCAAGGCATTTATTTTATTAGTGAGATTAGATTTCCAAAAGAAGCTCAAAAATAATGAGCTTATTTTATAACTCATTTTTCAATGTATCTATGCTTTCCTAATCAATCAATAAGATCTAACTGCAAACTAACCTCTTGGTGGATGCATTTAACATGAGCCCGGACCAAGTCAGATTAACAAGTCCTTCTGCCATAATGCTTTTCGCTTGTAGAATCTCCCCGATCTACAAGAAATGCTCTCAGTTCAAGTCCTGAAGATGATTATGTTATAGTTCCGCAGAACATTCAAATTCAGTCAGATCAATCTGTGGACAGCAGCCTTGAGAAAGACAAACCTGGGTGAGCGGCTGATGAGCTAAATTAATGAAAGCATTAGTATTTTTTGTTTTATGGAAATTCTAGTTTGAAGTTGCCTGTTAAATCATCCCCTCCAAGTTCTGATCCTGCATTGAATAGTCCAACAAGGCCGAACTTCTTACCCATATCAGAACCAATTCCAGTCCCAACACAGAAAGAGGCTTATCAGAGAATGTATAATCAGAGCAGTAAGAAAGAACCCCCATCTTCGCCTGTGGAGGTGAGATCTTGCCAAAAACTATAAGTTTAATTTAAATATTTTTTCCTTTTTAACTTCTCAAATATTTTAATTAACTAAGTTTAGTCTCTACAATATGTGTGTTATTAAGTAGTTACTATTTACATAGATTTCAAGTAGTAGTGTACCTCGTTCGCAACCCATTAGCATGAGGAGGCCACCAGATAGGCCAATGAGCACTGACATCGACATTGCTTCAATGTCTCCTCCTTCAGTAAGCATTCTATATATTATTTAGTAGTAATTTGCGTATTGCTTCATCATTATGTTAATAATTTATGGAAGATTGGCTATATTCATATTCACCAAGATCTTTACTACATTGGTGGGCTTGTAGGTACAATTTGTGATTGGCACTCCACCAGGAAGAAGACGATCCACATCAGGTAGTCTATGTGAAACTCCCCCGCCACCAAACATTTGGACTGTATCTCCCACCAGCGCTAAAAACATGCCGTTAAATTCGCCCTTGCGTAGATCCGGTAAGGGTCGAGTGGACTCTTGATATTTTTGTCGGTTATCGCTGTTTTTCAGGCACTTCTCCTCCCGTTTTGAGTGGTCCTTTAGCACGGGTCCCCATTCTCAGCAGCCCCAATTTATCTGATAACAATAACTTAGGAAAGACTCCAATCATACCATTTTGCACTAGAGCTGTGACTTTGCCCGAGATATCAGAAATGGGCAATTACCATAGATTATTTAGTAATGAATCTTCCACCAGCAACGAAGCGCCGCAACCCATATCTTATACGTCGCCCGAACTTCCTGAGGAAACGCTTTTAGAGGTAACCCATTAACATATACATACTTCATCATATTTGTTAATGACATGAAAAAACTCCCTACTTTTTACAGTTTTTTTTATTTCCTTTAGTGGTTACTACCTTAATGTATAATGTATAAACCTTTCTATAATAAATATCAAAATACATATAAAAAATATGTTGTCAAAGTTTTAAGGCAGCTTTTTAAACAAAAAACTTTTCCGCTGTTCTTTTTATTCCTTCTCGTGGAAAATGCAAAAAAGCTAACAGCCGTGATGCTTCCTCCACAGAAAGAGCATAATGAGACCCTAGCCAAAATCAATTTTGTGTTAGCGCTTAGCAACTGTATCATAGAATTAGCAGCACAGAGAGCGGCCCCTATTAGTGCTTTGGTAAATGTAAGCACTAGAGGTAGTCCCCAGTCAAATTTGCCTGCTTCAGAACTGGACAGGAGAACAGAGCAATTGGTATTATTAGTGCGGGCTCTGCAGCTTTTGAGTTCTGGGCTGGCGCTTGCAACGAAGCAGCTGAAATCGGGTCAGTTAAGACCCAGTACAGCCGTTAAGAATGGTAGGTATCAAGTATGTTTACCTTAACAATAATATAGATGTCTGCCTGAATTTTTGCTACTCTAAATTTATTTTTTCACAGTCGTTTCAACGTTAAATACAAAATTCAAAACAACGTTGATGGAGTGCAAACAACTTAATAGCAGCGGTTTGCTTAATAAAATTGGTACCACCGATATTACAGCAGACAAAATTATTTATAATCATGCAATTCAAATGGTGAGTGCTGATACAGAAAGGGTTTGAGCAACATTTGGCTTTTTACAAATATAATTCAAAGATTCATATAGTTTTGCACTGTCAAAATTACTCCAAAAAATATATTTTATAACATTAATAACCCAGAGAGTTAAAATTAAAAACAGCCCTTTCTTTGACTCGCATTATAGAGGACTACAATTAATTTTTAGTGCCAGACAGCAGCTCTAGATGAACTATTTGGTAACCCTGAAGAATGCTTTCAGAGATATCAGACGGCGCAGATACTCTTGCATAGCCTTTCTCAGCAAGTTCACAATCCTCAAGACAGGATTTTGTTAAACAAATGTAAGTTTTATTTGTTCTATAAAATTAAAAACTTCGCATAATTGTTCTACTTAAACTAAAGTACTTTCACTTTTTCCGGATAAACTCACTTCAAAATAGAGGCACAAATTTTTTGCCACCTGTTAAAATTAAATGTTATATGTCCTGCTTTTTTTTTAGATAAAGACGCTGTGGAAAAACGCTTGTTTGTTTTGCAACAGCAAGGCTACATTTTCGCGACGGATCTAAATTAGTAATTTACCATCAGAATGTTATGTTAAAAATTTGTCAGTCGTTAGGGTGGGTTACGTTGTTATCACTTTTTTTGAAACTTGAAATTCCAACGCTACCAGTATTTATTTATATTGGTAACAAATGGGAAAAACTGGGATTATTGCAGTCACCCTGTTCCTATTATTCCAAAGCATATTATTTAGAAAGAAAAGTGTTGTGCTGTATAAAATTTCTCTTCAACAACTTAACCTACATCAGAATTGCCAGCAATTTGAAAAATTGATATTCCCATATTTGCCCAAATTTTGTCTGACTGAAATGATATTTTGAAAGTAAAATACGTTTTGCGCTTCCATAAATGTGAAGTGAAGATTTGAAAAGGTTTATTTAAAAATTAAACCTTGGCCAGCAGAGCATTTCCCTTTTAATTTTTATAAATTCCTCTCCTGTCCCGCAACCATTCTGCAGGTATTTTTAGTTCAAAACTATTGGAAAAGTTGATTTTGACTTTGACAGACTGCAAAAAATATTTTTTTTTAGTCGGTTCAACGGAAATCTTACTTTTTGTTATCAATTTGCCATAACAGCAGACACTTTGGAAATAAAATTTATGTATAACTAAAATTATTAGAAAAATGTATCTTGAAAATTGAAAACTTCTTCCACTCTGAAGAAATACTGTGTGCAAATTTTCCAAATTGCTGAAAATTTTGCATATACAACAATGCAGTTTCATAATAAAAGACAAGGTATTTTGTTACAAAGTGAATGTTTTGTCTGTCATCTAACAAAATAAGTTTCATAGTTAATACTGGGTGAAAGGTTTTTATTTATTAATAAGCATATTTTACCAGCTAGTTTAGTATGGGTTTGATGGTTGTGTGTTTTTTTTTATTAACAGTTGATTTTTTTTAAATAAATTGTTGACTGACTCAGGTTAAGATTGATGTAATGATATTGTATGTAAAAAAAGTTATACATATTAACAATATGCGCTCTCGATTTTAGGTTAGTTTTATATTTTATATTATAGGAAGGCTGATTGGAAGGATTACTACATGAAAATAGAAAAGAATTGGTCTTGACCAGTGTGCAATATTTGGGTTATGAATAGTTCATTGCTTATGTATAACCATCTAAACAATATTCATTTGTTTACTAATTTAATTTAGTACTCCAAAAAACAATAAAAAATCCAGTAACATATACATCGACTTTTCTTAAAGTCCCCACATTAAATATTTTTCTTGCATTTGGATTTAATTGGGTCGGATTTTCCACCTGCCGCTTCTACCTTCGGGAGAAAATTTATACTGAAGTTTTAAATATGAATTCAAAAAAAGTTACATTAAAAGTGAGACTTTCATCTTTATCTCGTATAGTTTACTATAAAAAGCAAGTGTGACTTAGCTGCATTTTTATTTTTCAACTTATCACTAAAGGAGTCTATTGGCAATAAAATGATGGGCTATAAATATGAAAATATACTTTGGATAAATATAAGTTTAATCCATTATCCAATCAAAAACACATATAAGAAAAATTGCAATTCAAGCATAGACCAGTACAGAATAAAAATACACAATATGTTCAATAATTAACTACAAAAACGTTTTGGTTTTAAGCTATAACCGTAACATATCCGTTAAACACACCATATCTTTTAATATTGTCTTAATTTCAATGCTTAGTTTAGAACATATTATTAACTTGTTCCTTTATCTCTGATGATTTTATTGCCGTATAAATATACAGGGTGTCTCAGAAAAAAAATCTAATGCGAGTTATGCAAGATAAGCCTCAAAGTCGATTGTTTTGGTAAAAGGCCTATCAAACTGGAAGGGTAGTAAGAAATAATGTCCCCCAAGGGGTTATTGTACTTTTTGACCTCAAAATAAATAAAACATAATATATAACTTAATCCAGTTTACTTAGTGTTTGGAAATTAGATATTTTTAAGAAAAGTCGCGCAAAAGTTTAATGCATTGGAGTGTCATCTGTGTTAATTTTTGTCCATACATCCAAAACTCCCTGTCTAAATTGAAAAACCAGAATACATAGGTAAAAGCGTTTTTCCGACCAAATGGCAACACTGCACTGGCTGATATTCAGTTGAACAATGTGAGGTAAGATCAAATTGACAGTCTTGGTGCTTTTGTTGTTGTATATATTACCTGAGCAATTAAGGCTTTAAATTGAATATTCTCAAGCCTAACACAATATTACCACTGAGCAGAAATTTCCTTTACAAAAGTGCAACAACAACATCTAAAAATGCACAACACAAAATTTTTTTATGATTATTAAGGCCGTTTTACTGATTTCACACAATCAGCTAAATATTTCAAAAATTTTAAAAGTACATGTAGAAAAATAACAAAACGGGCTTCCAGATTAATACTAAGACTACAATACTTGCCGTTTTTTTTATTACTCGCAGTGGCACCCGCAATTAGGCTTTACACAAAAAAAAGAAAAACAAGATATTTCTACGTTATGAAAATATTCTTTGAAAAATAGCACCAAGGTGTTCCTTAGTCTTTCCAATCTTTTTTAATTTCAAACGTCCACTCCCATTTAAGGTGCTCATTTTTGTCATCATCTGTAAACAGAGAGTAGACTGTGTAAGTACCGCGAGCAACCATGCCTGAAGGAGCATCTTCTGCAGGAGTAGTATATGACTGCATTTCTGTCTTAGGTGCATAGGAACCTACCATGTGTGTCATTTTGTCCACTAAAATATTTTTAATATTAACCTGTCATTTGGGTTAAAAGTCACAAATGCTTACCTGGTATTCCCATTTTACTTGTCTTTTGAATGTATTTCAATCCATGTACAATTTCTCTTTGTACAATAAATTCAATCCTAATTCGATATGACACACCCTCTTTAATGGTAAAGGTCTCTTTCTTCAATTTTGAGAGGTCACGTGTTAAATCTAGTGACAGCTCAGGTCGATCTGCCACCACAAGAACCAATCGTTTAACTATAACTTTCCTTGGATTATCTGGTTCTAAAAAAATGCCAGTGTTATTCCAGGATTTGTTTTTTTTTTAGTTGATTTAGATTATAGTACTACACAAAACTATTAAATATTTTAGAAATGACTAGAAGTTCTGTTCATTGTTTTATTTTATGTATAAAAGTCTAACCAACTACAATAGGTCCAGCCTTTGCTTGTCCTAACAGAGTCTCTTTATACTTGCGTAAACTTTCATCATCCTGATCTATTTGCAACAGCTCATCAATAGTCTTTTCTGGAGGAGGTTTGTAATTTGATTCAGGTTCTTTTTCCAAATCATCAGGGGTGGTAACTTCTTCAGTAGACATATTGAATTTTAAACCTAAAATACAAATTAGAGATTAACCTTAAAACTTAAAAACAGTTGAAATTATGAACTGGAAAAATTATAATAATAATAATTTATTGTTGTTCAATTGATTATAAATATTAACAATTATTACATTACATTACATTACAAGTTTCTAGAACCTTGGTTGTTTTAATTTGATAGTTATGTATATATGTATATAAGTGTTTTTTTTGTATTTTGTGTATAGCTCAATTCTATCTGGCTTACAAAACTTTAATTTCATAGATTGCGAATAGTTTCTCAAATAGATGTTGTAGAGAATGTGTTGGGATATTTGGAACAATGTAATAAGGACATGATGTATCCACCCTTTGTGTAAAATGCAAAAACACCTCAACCTTCTCAAAATATAAATGCAATAATAAAAAATAAAATAAAAACAAGATTGTTTTCTTGCATTATTTTTAGCATTCACTATTGGCTTGTTGTCACTTAACTTTTTGATTTATGTATAAAAAAGTGTGTATTTCTTCTGCACTAGAAAATAATTGCCAAATGTGGGTATAGTTAGTATGGTCCATTTTTAGCGACAGATAGATCACATGGCATCAAGATATTATTTTACATGTGACAACAAGCTTGAGTCCAACCAACCCTTCCCGCCTAATAGCGGGAGAAGTTGGTTGGATTTTTATAACAGTTTTCCACCAATGGATGATTACAATTATAGCAGTATCAACTGCAAAACATTTGTGCATTCCTAGTTTTTTTACATAAAACTTTGTAAATAAACGGTATATACTAATTATTTCTGTTATATAAACACTGATTTCGCAACAAAATTGAACTGACGAGTTGGAGATATTGATGTTTGGTTCTCGCAATATACTAACCTAACATTTATATTTGATTTGATTTTTAATTGTTACATTACTAGTAACAATTACAGCACACATTATCAAAAGTTAACAATCGTCAACAATAATCTTTTGGCCGAACTATGGTATCTGGAACTTTGAAATTCTAATAAATTTAAAAAATCAAATGGATGAACATCCACTTTAATTTTTGTAAGTTATCTAGATAGAGTTCCACTGTTTTTAAAATTTTCACCTTATTGTCACAAAATTTTGACTTTGGAAATGAAAAACTTTTATTGGACTGCAAAATCGTGATCATCTAACGAGAAGGTGCTACATAGTGATCTTGTAGGAAAAGATATCTGAATAAAATTTACAAACTAAACAGAACCATATTTTTTTACTAAGACACATTTTTTTGGAATTAAATACTGAAATCCAAGTAGAAAATGAGGTTTGCTATAAAATAATATAAATGTAAATATGAAATAGCGGTGTATTTTCGATACTTGTGGTATCTAATGTTTTGTTTTGTATTGGAATGATTGTAATGATACAGTGTAATTTTCTCTAAGATCCAATGGCTTTCATTTATAATGAACACCCCATATAGTTCAAATACATTTTTTTTAGATTCAAGGACATATATATTTACATACGTACATTTGGCATTTTATAGTAAAATTGATATGGAAGGTCATGGAATTTATAAAAATGGAAGAGTGTAGATCCACACGATATGATTCTAAGCAAATAAATTTAAATATTTTTTCACTACAGAAGTGTAAAAAACGATTGATTTTGTACTTGAAAAAAATATTTCTGAATATAGAGCAAATATACAATTGCGTTAAAATTGTACGTACATTGAACTTATCGGGTAAAGAAAAACCGGAAACTTATCAGCGAGCATCACATTTCAGTTTGTCTTGAAATAATGGATATTTTTTGTGCCTACATACCTTATAACACTGAAATGGAAAAAATCACGAAATTGGATTAGAGAGACTCAAAATCAAATCTTATTTTAAACAAAAAAATATAAAATAAATTTTTTGGGTGTATACCCCCAACCTGGCCACAAAAACTATAAACCATAGGAAACAAAATGGTCAGTTGTGCATGTAATCGAATAATATCGGATAGAGTGCATGTTCTGTTAATTACCGATTCGTAACTGTTGTATTCAAAAGTTTTTGAATAAATATCCTGATTTGGAAAATTATTAGAAAGTTTCAGTTAAAGTTTACGCTCTTCATGTCGTTTTTTTGCTTTTAAAGCCATAAATTTAGCTTGAAAATAAGTTTCTATTAAAGAACTTTGTGACAAAATGTCTTTCAAGTAAGAAACTTATTGTACTTCACATATGCCCATTTACGGTCGGCGACCGTAACGCTTCGGAAGTAATGTTTCTTTTCGGTTTTTTCAAAGATATAAGCATTTTGCATCAAGTAGCCAAAAATTGCGAGAATCTGTGAATGTTCTCTGTTATTTTGGGCTATTAGCTTAAAGTAGTACTAATATAAAAAAAACGCCATCCGCCAGCTCTCGTCATGGACCAATTCAGAATGGTATCAATGAATTTTTAAAACGATTACAATGTTTCGTAGCAGACCGAGGAGGTTAACCCGCTTTCAACCTTCACCATTTTTTTTCGATACACCATAGATTACGATAGCTATAGAGATAAACAGTTTTACCAATCTACCAATTTTGTCTATGGTTTTTTAAAGACTTGGTTTTTACAAGTTCATTTTCCATTTCATAAAATCACTTAAACATATTAACATTAAAAAAAAATTGTGGCACGGGTATTTCTTCATGACTTTAGCCATTTTTATTATATTCAGGCATTTCAGATTGTTGACGAAATTTGGATTTTACGCTACAGATTTCAATTCTAACCTAGTCAAAAATTTTAGCGCAATGCCAAAAGATCGTGAATATATAGCAAGTATTCAGAAAGGAAGAATAAAAATCAAACAGAAGAATGCTAAATATGCGCCTGGAAGAGTCAGCATACATTGTTTGGGGACCGGTGCTAAGGGTGCTCCCAAAGCAATGTATTTGTTTTCTGACCAATCGAGGTACCTATCAGAATTGAGTTGGGTGCTATTTTTTAACTGTCAAGTCTGATATGTTTTTCAGATATTTATTTAATTGTGGGGAAGGTACACAAAGGTTAGCCCATGAGCACAAAGTGAAGTTATCCAAATTGGAACACATTTTTATCACTCAGCCTGTTTGGGAAAATATTGGTGGGTTGCCTGGAACTGCATTGACCATACAGGATGTTGGGGTGCCTCAAATTACTTTACATGGTCCTCCAAGCTTGGTGAGCAAAAAATTGTAGGTTCAACTGCTTGAAATAATGATGTTTAGCCAATTATTTGATATTGCAATGTTTCTTATATGTTTAATTTAATTTTGCTCCCTCTTTTAGAGTGAAATTTTTGCAGCAACCAAAAGGTTTGTAATATTAAGAAATTTAAAAATTGTGATGGCTAAAAGTAGTCAAGAAACTATGTTTGAGGACAATGTTATTAAGGTCAAATATATTCCTTTGTCGAAGAAGTTTGAACAAAATGTTTCAGAACAGGTGTTGCTTGACAAATGATTGATTGTTGTATTTGTAATTTGTTTTTTTTAGATTGCTATTTCAATGCCAACTTCTAGTGGAAATAATATTGTTGAAGATGATATAGATTACTATGCACATGAATGTAAGTCCAGTATTAGAAATTCTTCATTGGCATTATTCGGTATTTAATTTTAAGGCAGTGGTAAAAGTAAGAAATTGGAAATTGTATCCTCAGTTTCTCAAAATCTTCTACTTCAACAAAAAGAAATGGGCAATGTGATGTCTTATATATGCCAACTCCAAGCTCGGCCAGGTGCTCTAAACTTAGATGCATGTGTCAGAAAGGGTGTGCCTCCAGGACCTTTATTGGGGAGATTAAAGAATGGTGAAGACATTGTTTTAGCTAATGGTACTGTTGTGGCATCTTCCCAAGTCAGGGAGCCAGATGATCCAGGGCCAGTATTTTTAGGTATGTTTAGCTTTATTTTTATATTATGATAATTAAACATATTTTTAGTTGTTGATTGCCCCAGCGTAGATTACCTTGATAATTTCGTAAACAATAGAGAATTTAAAAAACACCAAAAATTTGCCGGTAAAGATGATGAGGCTGCTTTTCTAGTCGTCCATTTCACACCACAGGAAGTTATGCAACATCCAGAGTAAGTTAGTAGCTAAATCTTTCTTTGGTCTGTTAGCTTTACTGGTTACTGATGTAATTTAGTTATAAAAAGTGGATGGATGATTTTATCCCCAGTACACAACATATTTGTTTAAATGAATCAAATGTTTGCCTGGGAAGTGTTGCAGTTCATAGGATACAGTATAAACTCAATTTGTTGTCACCAACATTTTTTCCATTACTTGGCAGTAGAGGTGCCCCGTTAACTACAGATGTAAGAATACTTAAATTTTGCTTTAAACTTTCATTACATTTCATATGTTTAGGGCTGTGAGAGTCGAGTTAGTAAAAAACCAAAATACAGAGGTTTAGAATTGGAAAACTTAAAAATTGAACCTGTGGAAACTAAATCTGATGAAAATTCCAGGGTTGTAAATACCCTGGCCTGTTATCATTTACGTCCAACGAAAGGGTTTGACAGGTATGATTTTCTTTTATTTTCATCCGCACTAAATATCGGTATTTTCAAACATTTTGGCTAGTAGTTTTCATAACTCATGACGTTACTTTTAAATATAGTTCTTCAGAAATTAGACTGGATCCCCAAGAATATATAGATGAAACACTCTCTTTAGAAGATTTTCCCAATGTTTTAAAAGAACTGCAGCAAAAATTAAGCGCTAAGCAATCGGTTTTAAGCATTAGAGAATTTCCTAAAGTATTATTTCTTGGTGAGTTTCATATATTTGATATATGATTAATAAATCTTCTAAAATTGTATTTTATTAGGTACAGGATCCTGTATTCCAAATAAAACTAGAAATACTAGTGGAATTTTAGTTCAAACAAGGTAAGTTTGGTCCAGTTTCCTTGGTTACAATTACATTTCAATTTTTTTAAAGTGAAAGTAAAAGTATCTTATTAGACTGTGGTGAAGGCACCTATGGACAGCTTGTTCGTTTTTTTGGACCAGATATGTCTAGAGAAGTCTTAGCAAGCATTGATGCCATTTACATTTCTCACCTCCATGCTGATCATCACATAGGATTGATAGGTATGCTTCAGGGACGAAAAAGAGCTTTGGAGGAACTGAATAAACATAAGAGTGCTGTGTATTTATTTGCCCCTCATCAAATTTTAACTTGGTTGGATTTTTATGATAAGTTTTTTGAAAGCATTGGAGAAGAATACATGCTCATACCAAATGCTGATCTTGTAAGTTGCATATCATCATCTTTCCATTAAATAATGATTACGTTGCAGGTTATGGGCAAAATAGCTTGCGAAGAATCAAAACGAGTGAAGATTTTAAACAATTTAGAATTAAAAGATATCTGTACATGCGGCGTTCAGCATTGTCCAAATGCTTTCGGTTTATCAATAACCCACAAAGATGGCTACAAAATTACATATTCTGGGGATACTATGCCTTCCGAGAATCTAGTGAAACTTGGTAAGGGAACATGCAAAAAAGGTTTCGTAGTGAGATTCTTTTTTTTTCAATTTAGGGATGGGCTCAGATGTTCTGATTCACGAAGCAACTATGGAAGATGACCTGGGCGAAGAAGCAGTCACCAAAATGCACTCAACAACCTCTCAAGCAATACAAATCGGTAAACGTATGAGCGCGAAGCACATAATTCTAACTCATTTCAGTCAAAGATATGCCAAATTGCCGAGATTTAACGATAATTTTGACGATAACGTCTGCATTGCTTTCGATAACATGCAGGTATGATTTGATTTTTAGGAAAAAATATGAATCTATTAATTTTTTTTTAAAGATAAGGTTGGATGAACTTCCTCTGGTACCCAATTTATATCCAGCTTTAAAGGTAATGTTCGCCGAACAGTATGAAGAACTTGAACACAAGGCTGTTAAGAGGCAGAGGAGATTGGAAAAGGACGAGGCAGTTCGAGCAAAAACTTTGTCGAGTAACTTACATATTTTACAAAAATAAAGAATTTTACACCAAAGAAATTAAACTTCCCTGAATACAATTTTATGATTTATTGATATATAAAATTGATAGCAACATTTCTTGATTACTTAATAATTGTATAATTATAAAAGACTTAAAAAATAAAACTTAAGTTTAACAAAAGAACTTTCGCAAATAGTTTCAATACAACATAAGCTAAATATATTTCTTAGTTTTCCGCCACATCTGTAACGAAATATAAACTCTCTTCTTATATACACTCTTTAAGAATCCGTCAAAAGCTACACTTTTCAAATTTACGTAACAGCTGGCGCAGTTATTTTTTATTCCAAGTTCGAAGGCGATACCAGATACAAAAAATGGTTTATTTTTCAAGCACTTTCACTAATTTTCAAGTTCAGTATAGAATTCCCAACCTGAAAGAGCCTGAAGGTATTTTTAATATAGCACCGATCGCTGATAAAAATGTATTTCTTCTGTTTTTAATAAATAAGTCCTAAAATTGACTAAGTAAGGATTTAATGAATATAATTTGTGCATAAGAAATAAGAACGTAGTTAGTTTCAATGACGAAAATAATGAGAAAAACTTTAATTGTCAGACCTAATGTCACTGATTAAAAGAAATATATAAACTTAGGCCGATAATAATAACACACAATAAAAATAAAGAGAGGATAGGATTTTAACAAAAAGCATTTCTTCTAAATCACATCCACCGTATTTTTTCGCAAAAAAATACATCTCAACCAAAATACCTTCACCTCTTATTTTCTCCCAAGAAATAATAAAAATCAAATAACCAAAACAAACATAACAATCTTTAATATAAATTGATGATGAACAAACACCACACAATATCAAAGAATATTTAATAAGTCAAAAAAAAAATATATATATATTTTAATAGGTACATGTAGTCCTGCAACTTGGGCTCGAAAAACATATACCTAACCATAAGCAACGATTAAATAATTATATTTACCACAATAATTATAATTATTCAACTTGTCACCTTATTGAGGGAATTGATAGAGTATTTTTTAAAAAATTAGTGTTAACCCAGTCGGACGGAAGAGTTTAACAACTTTCTGAAGGCTCCATTAATCAGGAATTCAAGCATACCAAAAACATATCTTAGAAGGTTGGTGACAGTACTTCGCTGCAAAATGCAATATCGATTCCCATACTTGTCCAAATCAAATGCCAATAATTTTTCACAAAAAAAAATCAAAGTTTAAATCTGATCCTTCTACCGCTCCAAATTAATGCGAAGCGCCCCACGGTGCCCCGAAAATTGTGAAAAAAGATGGTCACACACTATTCACGAAATGCAACCGCCATAAATAGTTCGATATAAAAATTTGATAAAAGTCTCGTTTTTTAAAAAGCGCGCTTCACATCGAAATCCCAACATCAATTCGTTTTTTTTTTTTGTTCTATGTACAATATATTCCTCTATTTTGCCTTCTGTATAAAAAGAGCCAACATTGTGTGGCGTTCTTACTGCTTTCACACCTTTTTTTTTGTTTCGAAGTCCTGGAGGAATTACGCTTTAATTTTGTTTTGTTTTCCAATGATTTTTCTGTACGTTCGGGTTTAAAAAATTTACGGCCTAGAGTTCCTATTAGCATGAAAACGTCCGTCCCATTTTATTCCACAAGTTTGAGGACTTTTCCAATTGCAATTGTTTTATCTGAAATTAAGAATCAAAAAATTAGATGCCTCATAAGGGATGCATTTTTTTTTGTTATTGGCGAGTTTATAAAAAAAACAACTAAGAACGCAATGTGCCCAACTTTTTTACGCTAAATTTAATTATTAGTTGAAAATTATAGTGCATAAGCGATTTATTAATGTACAGCCTCCTGTTAAGATTGAACTGTTTCGGCAGTTAGCTGTAGAGTTAATAAAATAAAGCAAAATTCAGGAAAGAAATGTTTAAATATAATGTTATATATGAGATACTGTGGAATTTCTTAGTTGGTAGCTGTTAATTCTTAATTCCTATTTTTATATGTATGTGTATGTATCATCAAACATTTGAACATGTTTGAGTTTTAGTTGATTCTGCGATATCTTCAAAAATATTTAAAGAATAAAAATAAATACAAATATAAACTGTCTCTATGGAAACCTCATATATTAATTTCAAAACAATTTTTATGTTGCAATTGAAATCATAGTTGTCCGATCCAATTTATTTGGACGAGATATATAAAAATATATCGCAAAATTAATGCAATTTCTACTCACTTTCATCTCTAAGGGTAAATCTACCCATCTGCGGGAACAATTTGAAGGGTTCGAGACAAATCACTCCCGCGCATTCTATTCTCATAATGGCTACTTGGTCCTGTTTGACAAACCTGGGTCTAGTCTTTGATTTCTCTCCGGTTTTCTTGTCCACAAGGCAGATTAGTGCCTAAAAATAGACCACCAGACATACTACCAATTGCGAACTACTCCGTCACACTACCTTAACGGTAATTTCCTCGGCGGCGCAGTGAATATGCATCACCGCACTGTAACCCGCGCATATAATGGACTTATGTTCCAAGATTACTAATTGAGCGTCGAAGATGCGGCACGTGTGAACAGGATTAATGGCATCACACAAAACAAAGCCCGGACTTACATCCTCCTCCTCTACACCTTTCACTTTAATCTTGATATTTTCACCCGGTATGACCCGACTTACTTCGTCGTCGTCCGATAAAAGCTGGTCTACAGTTACAGGGGTCTAGAACATTTCCGTTAGGCACAAAAAAAACTAATCTATATCGAGTAATGTTGGTTTTACCCTATTAGGCATGATAAGGAGACTTTGCCCTTTCCGACATTCTCCCGACTCAACTTTGCCCATCAAAACAGTACCCATGTCCTTATATTTATCTACAATAGGCATCATGAATGGTCCGTCCGCTTTTCTATTTAGGGCAGGCAAATTGTCGATGAATGGTATAAACGCCGGTCCCTTGTACCAAGAGCTAACTTTCTCGTCGACGGGCTCTTTTAGGTTCTGGCCCATTTGGCCAGAACACGGCAAGAAAAATAGGTCTTTGTTATAATTGAAACCTAGTTTCTTAAGGTATGGTAAGATTTTGTCTCTACATTCGTTGTACCTGAAACAAATTGAAAACAAAATTAACATTTGCGAAGATTTAAAGTAAAGTAGTTCAAATATACCAACAATTGTACAATAAAGCAGCAGATTTTAAAGTCACAAATTTAGATCAATGTAATTCTAAAAGGTTTTGTTCTAACTGAGGGTGCAATAATTGCATTAATTAGGTCTAAAGGTTTTTTTTTTAATAACCTGCGATATTCAAATTGCAGCTGGCAGTAAATACTGAGCATGATGAATGTTTCTCTCTTAATTTTTAATAAGTTTACCTTTTGTTTTGTTTCAACTTTCTTTTGTTATTGCTATAACTTGAATGTATTCTCAATATTTGTTTATTAGTTTATATTTGATTAACATTAAATATTATTAATATTTAGTGTTAAATAACACCCACCTAGCTTCGTCCCAGTTCACAGTTGGATCGTCCATCTTGTTAACTAATACTACCAAATATTTAACACCCGCCGTTTTGGCCAACATGGCATGCTCCCTGGTCTGTCCTCCTCTATCAAAACCAGTCTCAAATTCCCCTTTTCTAGCTGAAATCACTAAAACTGCTAGATCGGCCTGGGCAGCGCCTCCTATCATGTTTGGCACAAAGCTTTTGTGACCTGGAGCATCCAGAATTGTAAAGTGCTTCTTTTCAGTCTCGAAAAATGCTCTTCCCACTTCTACAGTTTTACCCTTATCCCGTTCTAAAAGAATTTATTGAAGAATCTGTGTAATTCCTTGCTAACCAACCATTTACCTTCTTGGTTAGTGTCAAGAGCCCAGCTGAGGTACCAGCTCTCTCGGCTCTTTTCTCTAGCTTCCCTTTCATATTTTTCTAGTGTCCTTTTGTCTACCATACCAGTAAGTGCCATGATTTGACCTCCAATTGTGCTTTTACCTAAAGTTGACAAGATAGAAAATGCTAAATTACTCTAAATATATCAAATGTTTTTTAAACTCATAATCCTACATAAATCTTAAAAATCCAGAAACTAAAAAAGAGGCTATGCTATTTATTCTATAGCAAAACACATTAAAATCAGGAAAAAGTAGGAACTAAGAATAAACTCCGTGTAAGGTTGGTTAAAGATAGTGCTTACCAGCATCAACATGACCAATGAAGACTACATTTACATGTTCCTTTTTTTCTTCCAACTCTTCTTTTTTAGCCACCTTTTTCTTGGTCACCTTAATGGGAGCCTCCTCAGAAGATGGTTCATCATCATCATCTTCAGGAGTAGTAGCTGTAGCAGGTCCACCAGATCCGCTGTCTTCATCTGCGGCATCCTCCCAAGTTCCGCCCTCGCCTCCACCACTAGGGCTTGCATCACCATCTGCGGGAGGTATTAGTGGGGGCTCTTTGACTTCAGGTTGTTCTGGCAAAGGTTCACCACTGTCGCCTGTAATTTAAATAAATGAATCAAGGTAAAATAACAAGTAATCTATAATATAGCCTGGTCAGGGCTTAACCTTTGTTCATACATTAATAAAGAATTAAGCGCAATTCTTATTTAAAATTTGCAAAACACTTGATAGGGTTACATTAGAATCGCCATTAGGACACAAAACTGGTAATATCTGGTTATAACCTAGAATTACTCTTAACGGAGACAATAACTTCTGTTAAGCTGTATTGGCAAGATATGCAAAATTACCCCACAACTTAGAATAAAAAAGATTTCAAAAGTATACAAATAAAAGTGAACTTCCCTCTTACAATCTCCAATATGGATTCATAAAATTTGGATTTCGGTAAAAAAAAAATTGAAAAATTGTAAAAACTATTCTTGAGTTATATAACCTCTTTAGAGTTACAGACCACATTTAATTGATATCTAAAAATTAAAGCAGGAAGATGGGATAACCTAAATCGGGACACGTCAAAAAATACCCATCACGAGGTACTCACCGTTAAGAACTGGCTCGTGTTGAGGTGAAGATTCGGTGCTTTCAGACTTGGCTGGTGACTGGGCGTCAGGTCGTGCGTTTCCAAATGAAAAAGAAGGCACAAATTCAACAGCATTAACGTTCAACGTGGAAAATTTCGCTGTCACATCTGCAGTGTGACTTGGACTGTTACTTGTAGAGTTACTGTCAGCCTGAGATTCCCAACTATCTGGCGCGGTATTGTTCGACATTTTAACAAGCGTTTCTTAAGTAATTACCAGCAAAATACTTATCAAGCGAGTGATAAAACATAAAAAGTCGAGTCTCTACGTCCGCGTGCGTTTACTCAACGAGCTACCGGAACACAATGGCCGAAACGTCATATTTTAAAAGGTGGGAGATCGACCAATGGCAGTTGTGCGCACCATGACTCTCAAATGCCAAAAGTTATTGAAGTCAAGCTGTAAACTATTAACCTGCCAAACAAAATTCTGTGCTTGTATAGGTTTTCAGAAAATCTAAACTGAGGGTGTAAATACTGCAAAGCAACCAGTTGTTACACGTTTTGTCGTTAACATAACCTACGAACATCAATTTAAGATTCGAAAACCATGTCTAAAATTAAGAAAAAGTTGCTTCCGAAGGGTATAAGATCGAAGCGTTCTAAAAAAGGTCTAAATACAAAGGTGTTAAAAAAAAATCAAAAAATTAAGATTCCAAAAAAAGAAAAAGGAAATGCTAATAGTTTTGAGGAAGAGTGGTCAGAGAAACGACTAATATTAGGGGAAGAAGAAAACCAACCTACTGAAAATTATGACTCTGAGGAAAGCGATTTAGATGAGGAAGCGTTACAAGAGAGGCATAGAAAAGATTTGGATAAATTAAAGAAAACAGATCCTGAATTTTATAAGTTTTTGGAAGATAATGATAAAAAATTACTCCATTTCAATTTATCTGATGAAGAAGATGCAGTACTGGACGAAACTGAAGATGTTGACTCTGTTCATAAGCCAACTCATGATTTAGAAGTTGCAAGTGATGAAAGTGATTTTGAAGTAATGAATTTTTGTTTGAAAATTTTATGAAAAATATTTACCTTATGTGTTGTAGGGTGATGATGTTAAGTCGGGACAGAAAGACAACAGGGTTATAACTTTAAAAATAATCAAAAAGTGGCAATCTGACATCCAAGCCGATAGAAGTAACAAAACTATTGTTGAAGTGACCCAAGCTTTTCATGCAGCACTTTTACGGGTTTCAAACATTGACATGCCAGATGATGAATCTGTCAGATTTAAAGTCGAAGGTATTTACAATATGAATACATTTTGAATAGGTCTACATGTTATCTTTAAAGGGTCTTCCATTTTTAACGCTGTTGTACAATTATGTGTTATGGAGTTGGGTCCAGCAATAAGGAGATATTTGGGTCTTCAATCAGGTTCTAAACTATTACCGCATAAATGTAAAAAATTTAATAAGGTGAAGGGTATTTTGAAATTGTACTTTTCAGATCTATTAAAGGCAAGTTACAATATTTTATTATTCAATACTTATATTACTAATCTTTTAACTTTGCAGCTATTACTGGGGGTGACTTCATCAAATGTTCAGTGTGTTCTTCTAAAACATTTGCATTACATGTCTCATATGTTAGCCTCTTACTCGAACATAACAAAATCAATTGTTAAAAAGCTGATTAGTTTATGGGGTTCAGCTGATGATTCGGTTCGAGTTCTTGCATTCTTATGCATTTTACGCATAACTACGACTCAGACCGGGGGGATTCTTGATACAACTTTAAAATCTATGTATCTGACGTTTGTTAAACACTCGAAATTTGTTAGTATTAGTTCACTGGCGCTGATTAATTTTATGAAGAGATCATTGGTTGAAATGTTCAGTTTGGACATAAACATATCCTATACCCATGTCTTCTTGTACATTAGACAGTTGGCTATACAGTTACGCACTGCCATTACAGTAAACAAAAAAGAAAATATTCAAGCCGTTTACAACTGGCAGTTTATTAATTCTTTGCGGTTGTGGGGTAATTTGTTATCTGTGACTTACAAGAAGCAACAGATGCAGCAGTTGGTATATCCTTTTGTGCAAGTATGCTTAGGAACTTTAAAATTAGTGCCTACCGGTCAATATTTTCCTCTAAGGTTTCATGTGGTTCAACTATTAATTGATTTTAGTAGAGACACTGGAGTGTTTATCCCTGTGCTGCCCTTTTTGCTCGAGATTTTAACTTCGTTTGATTTTAACAAAAAACACCAGAAACTTTCAATGAAACCAATGCATTTCACTTGTTTATTGAGATTATCAAAGTCTCAACTTCAAGAAAATGGATTCAAAGATACCGTGATTGATACTGTTTATGGACAAATTTTAGAATATCTCTCCAATCAATCTAATAGCATAGCATTTCCAGATTTAAGCTTGGTTTGCATAATTCATATTAAACAATTCTTAAAGACATGCAGAGTGGCAAATTACACCCGAAAAATGAAACAGCTTTTGGAGAAAATTGAACAAAATACCAAGTTCATTGAAGATGAAAGGTCAAAAGTTACATTCAGCTTAACAGATCAAAATCAAATTGAAGGTTGGGAATCCCAAATTAAAGTGAAGGGTACTCCTTTAACTACCTATTATGAAAGTTGGAATAAATTGAGAAATATTAAGAGGAATAAAGAATTCACTAGAAATGATCAATTAGGCGATTACAAGTTACCAACGTTAAATAAAGTTAAAAAAAAGGCAACCCAAAAGGCAGAAGGGCGCGTTGAATTATTTCCAAGTGACAGTGATGATTCAGCCCATGAAGGAATCAAAAAGTTTAAACGAGGAAAAAGAGGAGGTAAAAAGAATAAGAAAGCTTTTGAAGAAGCTTCAGCAGATAGTGATAATCAGCAAGATATTGTTGAAGACGTAAATGCTGATGATTGGTAAATTTATTGTACATATTATTAAGTTTTTGCACAATAAAATATGCCACATTTTTTCTTTTATTTACATTTTGTAAATTAACCAGTATTTTTTTGTATGTTTCCCTTTGAATTCAGGAAGATAAATTAAGCGTTGTTATATTTTTTAATTTTTGTTTTAATGTATATATATATTTCATTTGGGCATACTGTGACGTAAAAGGTATTGATCAACCTTTCGTGGATTTGTGTTCCGTGACCGTTATGCTATTGAAATGTCATTTAAAATTGACTTGCGCATGTAGATTTCCTGTTTGCTTTGATGGATTTCGGCATCAACACCAGCGTAACTAAAATAACCTAACATTGGGGAAAAGCTGTAACAGGATTTATATTTTTGCTAGTGTATTGCCTTTTATTAGAAGTTAGAACAAGTGAGATTCGGAGCAGAAATTGGATTTTGCGCTGCAATCATCAGTTTGTATTAAGTCAACAAAAATCAATTTGGTAAGTACCTACATTAGGTATGCGTATTTTTTGTTTTTTTAGTTTCTTGTTAACAGTTTCTTTTTTTGATTACACATTTCATGTTTTTGGGATTTCTTATGTTCGTAAAAGTCTGTAATTTGGTACCTTTTTTATGAGCTCAAAAGTCGCCATTTTGATCTTATTCACCACACCATCATTTGGCATTACCATTTTAATAGAATCAAGTCAAATGTATTTAAAACTAAATACGAAATTCCTACCAGTTTATGTACAAGATGGTGAAATAAAATGTAATACATATTCTTGACATTACCTCATTGTTGATCAAACAATTGCGCATTGGCAGATCGACCATTTTTTATACAGTGGTTTCACTTGTATTTTAAGTGATTGTGTTGTCTAATAAAATAAAACGGATTTAAGTACATTAGCTGCAGTTTACAAAAATTTTGCGGATGTGTTTTTCGCAGAATGTGGTCTTCTTACGATGAAGATTTATCAACAAATGTGTTTTTCAAAGAAATAAAAACGAATCATTCTGATATTCTCAGTAAGGCATGCGACGAAAAATGGGTAATTTGCATACCACGAAATGGTAGTCTAGAGGATACCAATATATGTATCAATGAAATTTTAGATCACATTCTGATACCCGGCGATGAAAACAGTTATAGTACCTTAACTAAAAAACAGCTAATTATTGAAAATAAATGCATAAAGTTTCAGAATCAAGAAGTTTCAAATGTTACTGTTGATATACTTTTCGAAGAGACTCATTACTCGGGGGACAATAAAAAGTACATAGTATGGTGTATTGATAAACAATTGTTCGGTGAGAAAGATCAGTCAACCCTGGAAACTACATTTTTGTTATCTACTGTACATGATTGCAAGTATTTTTTATGGCGGCAAACACGGGAGTTTGGAGTTTTAGAAAACATTCAGGAATTGTGTTTAAATTTTTTATCTCAAGAAAATAATTTTGAAACAGAGAGTCTACAGGGCCAAAAAGATTTGATTGGTAATTTGTACTCTCAGTGCCTTCAGGTATCTTTAAAGCATGTAATTTTTAAGGAAAAAGTTATGAAGAATGTTCAGTTTTTAGACAGTTTAAAGCTAGCAGTCGAAACGTACATGCAGTATTGTTTAGGAAAAAAGCTCATGTATGGTGTGAATTCATTGCAGCATTACAGTGATAGTGTGTTCAATAAAATTGTGAGAAATTCCAGTGATATTAAGGTCGAAGATTTGAATATTTCAAGTGAATTGTATAGTATGCTCAATCCAGCAAAATATGAACTTAGTAAACTCAACAAATACTCAACGGTACTGGATAAAATTTATTGTTTAAAAAAAGTGTTTAATTATTTTTTTGAAAATGTTAATGGTGTAGAAATTTTCTGTTTTACATCCGATGATTTTTTGCAGACTTTGGTGTATCTGATATTAAAATGTAATGTTAACAACTGGATAGCCAATTTAACATATTTAATTGAATTTAAATTTTGTACTTTAGAAGTGTCTAGTCAAAATAGTTTTTTAATAACAACATTGGAAGCTGCTTTGGAATATATAAAAAGCAACGAATTTTTAGCTATTAAAAGTAATCTGATAAACCAAATGACTGCAGATAATCTGAAAGAGAATGAAACTTTTTTTGAAATGATTTATAATAATATAAGAAGTGGTTCATTTAAATCTTTACCAGATTTAATTGAAAATAAACAGAATTTATGTAGATTGAAATTGTGCCATCCTCTATGTATGTGTTCAAATTGTGAGAATTTGGTGGGTGTAATAGGAAACAAAGTTACAAACAAAAACAACCAAAATTTGCTAATATACGCCAGTCTACAGGGGCATATAGATGTTGTACAATTTTTGTTATCAGGAGATTGTGATTTAAATGCGCTTGATAGCTCTGGAAAATCTGCTCTTCATTATGCTGCATCTAAAGGTTTTCAAGATATTTTGCTTTTCTTAGTAAATGCAGGAGCTGACGTTAATATCCTTGATACATACAAAAATACAGCGTTGCATATAGCATGCGATAAAGGACATGAAAACTGCGTGAAAGCATTAATATTTTCTTCAGCATTTCTTGAAATTAATCTTCAAAACACTTCGGGCGAAACACCTTTGTTTTTGGCTACCAAATGGGCATATTTTGATATTGTGCGATTGTTATTAGAAAATGGCGCGTCGGTTTGTTTGAAAAACAATAGAAACCAGACGGTCTATAAAATAGCGCCAAATTATTATGTTACTAAGCTTTTTGAGAATTTTTGTAAAGAGAACAGTAATAATATTTCGCGAGAAATTCACGACACTAAAAATTATGCTTCTCTTGATCAGTCCTATCAGGATCTTAGCAACGAATTTTCTAGCGGTAAAGACTATGGAGCAAAACCAAAAAGTAAAGATGAGTTTAAAACCGTCAATCTGTTACTTAAAGCGATAGAAAACAATGATCTGCCTTTGGCGTGTTTTTACTTGGGGTTCACCGCGTCTTCATCCAAATTAAATTCTAGTGATTTGTTATCAAGGTGCCATCCTTTATGTGCTTGTAAAAAATGTGTAAATGGGCCAGATTCTGATAGTGAAGCTGTTCAGGATTTCAAAAATATACCTAATATTAATGCATGCAACGTTAACGGGCATACTGCTCTTCACGCGGCTGCAAAATTTGGTCGAACAGAAATTTTGCGAATACTGTTGGACAGCGGCGCTTTACCTAATTTAAAAACCTATCGAACTTCATCTACTCCCTTACATTTAGCCGTGCTGACCCAACAAACCCAAATTATTCGAGAATTGTTAAAATGCGGCACCTGTGCGGTAGATCCTCAAGATGCCAAAGGAAATACACCATTGTACTACGCATGTCTTAAGAATGACGTAAGAATAGTGGAACTTTTGCTGGCAAACGGCGCGGATTGCCGAAAAAAAAATTACAATGGAAAGTCAGTTTTACAAGAAGCGGAGAATAAAAATCAATATCGCATATTCAGACTTTTGAAAGAAAGCTTAAGCAGTTTTAAACGAGATGATGTGCAGAATTCGGAGTCCGATCTGTTTGACAGTTTGTTCTAATATACATACCTAATCAAATTCTAGTCTGATATTATACTTATTTAACCATGTAAATGTTTTTGGTGTAAGTTATTTTAAAAAGTGAACAAAATGTTGGAACAAATGTATATTCTAGTGCTTCAAGTAAATTTAAGACGTATTTAGTTACTAACTCAGACTGATATATATCTACTAGATTTGTATATATTTTGTAATGTTCTAAATTTGCAATATACTCATATAATTAAAGTCCTATTTTTTGTACCTAAAACTCAAGTAATTTAATTTGTTGGTTTCAAGTTTCTTATTCTCGAATAAAATGCTTAATAGGATGACAACAAAATACTCACTTATCTTTAAAGGTAGAACGATGACACGAACGGAATTGCTCTAGCCATTATCGTTTTTGAGAATTTTATGGAAAATGGTGCATCTTAAAATAAGATTAACGATATAAGGGGTATCAGTGAAATTTTTTATTTAATTCATGAAAACGGTAAACTTAAACCACAAACATATACTTAGAATATAAAAAAAAAAGTTCATTCTTAGGTTTAAAAAAGAATGCACACGTATTTACCCAAATATGTACAGGGTGCTCCAAATTCGAGGGACCTCTATGGCTTTAAGCATTTGCAGCATAGTTAGCTCAAAACTGATCGGCATGTTACGGGCTCGATTTTCGAGAGAAGTCGAAAACTAAAAAGCGTATCATATGTTAAAGCGTTTCTGAGGATGATTCTTAAAAATGTGCGTTTCTAAACGCGCTCTATAACTTTTTTATTTGTAAAGATAGAGATTTTTATTAAAAACATTTTTTGAAGATTTTTTAAGTGCAAATCTACTTGTTTCGCCGATTTTGTCTTAAAGCCTTCACGACATATAACACAAAGTTACATTTTTTTAAATGGAATAACCCATTAAAAAAATGTTTCTAATAAAATTTCCAACGATGTGCTATACACCTATTTTTATTAAGTAGTTAATCTAGATATCTGCAATTTTTAATAATTACCATAGTAGGCTGTGCTTAACTCTGACCTATGCAGTTTTACGGTATCGAACTAGGCAGCTATGATCAGATAAAAACAATTGCCATGATATACAAGTCCAAGTGTCGAAAGTGATGTCTTCGACAAGCTATAAAAATGTTTGAAAGTACGACATGATAAAATGTTTTATTGAAAGTAACGAAAATCGACAGACGGCGTTATATCTATATTTCGATAGATATCCGGAAAGAAGGCAACCTAGCTCAAAAATATTTTTAAAGTTAAAACGTCATCTACCAGAATACAGATCCTTTACAAAACCGCGGCCGGAGTTGGAAGAATTAACGGTTCTGGGAGAAATAGAAATTAACCCTAATATGGAAACACTGGAATTCCATGCAGCAATGCCTTGCGGGTGCTTAAAAAACGCAACTTTAGGCCCTATCGACTCCGACGGGTGTATCAATTGCGGCAAACGAGATTTTGCTCCAAGACGTGCACTTTGCCGGTGGTACCCAAATAAATGCCAAGAAGACCCCGATTTTGCCAGGAAAGTTATTTGGACGGATGAGGCAACGATTTCTAGTGATGTAGTATTTCCCAGGTATAACTGCTATTACTGGAAACAGCAAAATCCCAATATTGTGGTGGAACAAGCGAATCAGGGAAGGTTCGGTTTTAAGGTATGGGTAGGCGTCTACAAAGTAGAAATTATTGGGCCATATATTTTTGATGGAAATTTAAATGCCGACAGATACGAACAAATTCTAGAAGAGTAGGTAATTCCGTTTATCGACAATTTACCACTTCAGCAAAATAGTGAGCTTTACTTTCAACATGACGGGGAAGAATCGGAGACCTTGTATTTCGAAATCGCCCAACTACTAGAAGGGAATTGGAAGAGGCACTTCGTACTACATTCAAGCAGCTTCGTGCGGTAGAACTTCTTAATGCAGAAAATAGCGTGAAGAGAAGATTTAAGGATATGTTTACAAGAAAACGGGAGTCAATTTGAGAAAAGAAACTTGTTAGATGTAGATTTTAAGTGTTATATAATTTAATTAATAAAAATATTAAATAAAAAAATGCTTTTAATAATTTTATTTCCGTTTATTATTTTAGGGTTGGTAATTATTGTAAACTAGAAGTTAAAGTGCGAGCTTGCTGTGTCTCCTCTTGTCGTAGCCAACTTTTTGTATGAAAAAAAAACCATAAAATTTTATCTACACATTTGGGGCGCGCACTGCGCCTACTATGGTAAATATTAAAAATTGCAAATATCTTTTAAACTATTTAATAAAAATAGGTGTATGGCACATAGTTCGACAGGAAATTTTATTAGAAAACTGATTTTTTAGAAAACTTGTGGGAAATATAACTTTGTGTGATATCTCGGGAACTAAAGGCTCTAAGACAGAACGGGTAAAATAGAGAAATTCCCGCTTAAAAAAACTTAAGAAATGTTTTTCTTAAAACTTTTCTTACAATTAAAAAAGCTATAGAGGGCCTTCATAATCGCACATTTTTGAGAATCACTCTGTAGCTCAAAATGGCCTTGACATATCACGATGCGGTTTTCAGTTTTTGACTTCTATCGAAAATCGAGCCCGTAACATGCTACGTTTTGGGCTAACTATGTTGCAAAGACTTAAAGCCATAGAAGCCCCTCGAATTTGGACCACCCTATACGTTTAACTAATACTCTTTATTTTTTGGAAAAAAAGTAGGTAAGAATAACAAAATAATTTGATTTGTAAGTTCTAAAGAAAATGCACAAATATGCATTGCCATTTCATACAAAATGATGAATTCAGATTAAAAATTTCATAATTATTAAATTTATATAAAACCTTAATGAGTTATTATTTCTTTATAAATATACTTATACATAGATTTATATATACACACTGTATACGCCATTTTCAAAAATTAACCCCCTAAAAAAAGAAACAGAAAAATTAAGAAATTATATAAAACTATATTCTATAAATTATATAAATTAAATAAATTATATAAAAATTATTTAACTGCGATTTTTTATGTCTTATGTTGTTTGTTGGATAATTAAGTAATCTAATAATGAAATTTTTGTATTTCATTATATTTTTTTATATAATTTGTCATTCAGAGAGAACCTACAATACCATGTCACGTCTATTTTTAAATTTTTAAAAACCCTTATTTCTTTGATCAATCTAAAAAAAGTTGACCCTTTTCTGATTAATGTTTTAAGTTAATACTTGATTCCGGTTCAATAACTTTTGTCTTTAAAATTTTGCGAGTTTTTGAATTTGAATTTATGACTTGAGCGCTATCTATTTTGAGATAGTGAATCGTATTGAAAGTACGTCGTCTGAGTACTGTTTACAAACATGGAGTTGATGAAATACTGCAGAGATATATAGATAGATAGAAACTAAAAAAGTCTAATTTTAAAATCTTCGAAATTTTAAGTAAAAAAGTAACATCCCTATTGCTATGCGTCTCGATCTAAATAAAATTTGTCTCACAAGATCGATAATTATAAGAAGCATTTCATATCTTACGGAAAATCTGTCATTTGTCACTTATATATTCTCTTTCGTAGTATTCAGTGCCCCTCTCAGAAAAGTTTACGTACGGAGTAAACTGCAACACCCTATATATTATTATTTGTATGCATTTTCCATCATTTAAATATTTTTCCACAATCAATGCAACCATATTTGGAGTACATTTATGGTCATTTTTAAGTTGGGTTATGTTCTAGAAATGGAAAAGATTGAATTAAAAATTTGAATAAGTTTCACTGCGCCTTGTCAGTTTGCGTTAGCTAATTTACTGTCCGGGATCTTGAAGATCACAGACTCTTTGATTTGTTTCGTTCTTGGATTATTTTCGCCTAAAGTCGCATTTTCTTTGACCCTGAAACTAAATTTCTGATACGTTGAGAATACGGGTACGTGGGTTAGTAATGTTTAACAAGTGATGTCCAAATGTAGGGGTTGAAGAGTTACGCCGACGCGGTTTCTACGACGACCGCGTCTCGACGCTGTTATCTGCGCCGCGGCGCTTGTTTCGCAAAAAGCCGGGTTCAGTATGTTTCGGGCCGCGTAGGGTTTGGATCGTCGCTGAACGCTCATTTTCGTAAGCCCTTAGTTTCACGTGGTCATTGAGAATTTCGAACAAAAAAAAAACTGATAGTTATTTTATTATTACGTTTGTTAACGTTGTTTTTTCTCTATAAATTTTGGCGTGTACTTAAATAAGTGTTTAGCGTGAACTTCTAGCCGAAAGATTATTAGAATTCGCCAGATAATTTAAGGTCAGTTTCAGTGTAATCGGGGATTTACGGCTCATCTTTTTATGTATTGAATGTAGATTTCGTGTTTGATTTATATTGTTATATAGAGACCAGTGGCAGGGTCTTCAATCTTTGCTAAACTTGGGATTACGTATAACGTTCAGCTAAGCCCCAGTCTATTTAAAAAACTGTTTTTCAGTTCGTAAAGTTTATTGCTTGTTTGTTTATTATTGCTAAAAGCTGAGGTAAAAAATTCGAACCGCTCGATTAACGATTTTAGCCATAAATATTATTGGCTACCAAAAATTATAATATAATTATAATCATGAAGAAGACATGGAGTGTTTTTTTTTCACGAAAGACGTAATTCAAAAGCATTGTGGCTCGGATACGGTTAAGCATCACACTGGCTGAAAGATACCTATCCATATTTTCTAGAAACTGTTGCCTAGTTTTAAACACAGAGTGTTGCCTTAAAGAGGAAACAAGAATATATACCAAACCTTATGCCATTCAATATCAAAATTACATTCTGGAAGTACCATTTAAAATCCATTATTGCCAATGATAAAATATGCAAGACTAGTAAAGTTTGTCTCTAAAGTATCTGGTTTGATGAACTTTTACATTTTCTAATAATATAAGCATTAGATAGATAATGTATTGTTTATGTAGGTATCAATTTTAAAATTACATTCTGACCTCGAGGTTTATCCAGTCTCGAATATTTTGAGCCAGGAGTATTTCTTTCGCCCTCATTTTTCTTTAATCTTGCACTTCAGCTTCAGGAATTAGTACTGCTTCTCTGTCAGAGTCGTCATTGCGACTAATTATAATGGGATTTATGTTGCTCTGTACGGAAATGCAAGCTTCCTCAATTTTCTAATGTGCTGTACTCAATTTTGCAGCTCTTTCGAAGTAAGAAAGCTTTTAGAATACTTCGTCTAATATATCAACTGACATATTAATATACCTAATAATCAATATTGAAGAAATACCCACCCCTGTCATGTACACTCAAGTATGAATAAATTATTTGTGTATTGACCAGTGTACTTAATAGCAGCAGGTAACAAAATCGTTAAACAATTTTGGGGTACGGTCCCTCAAAAGCCGATGCGATATACACTGAGATATACCGCATAAACTATATAACAATTTGTCGCATTTATTATAACGTAGAAAAATTTCAATCCGAGTTATGGAATTTGACCTTGACATTTTTGTGTATGTAATTTTTACGAGTTTGTGGAAGTGACTGATGTAAAATTTCGATATATAGCTGACGTGTTAAGGGATATTTTTGTGATATCTGTAGTTTTGTACTGTAAAGCATTTTTATTAAAAAATAAAGAAATAATAGAATATTAAGAAAAAATATGTTACGACACAACATTATTTTTAGAATCATTGCTTTAAGTGCGTTATGTTTCTTTGTTCAGGTATATGACTTATAAAAATGTTTACATTTATTGAAAGAGTAAATAATTGATAAGAATACATATCTAATCATCACGTAGACGCAGGTAACTCGGTACTTACAGCAATATTATAGTGTTCCTACTAATCATTAAAACGTAACCTCGGTAAAAAATTTGTTGATATCTAGTTCTGCATTTAAATTGTATGTGGTACTAAGTAACAAAACCTCGCTATGCAAGCAAAAGGACAACACAACGATCCACGAAGAATTTATGCGAACTCAGTAGTTTGGCGTCGAAATGTTTTCCTTTTAATCAAATGCAGGTACCCGCACCTGGTTTTAGGTCAGTTTAGGTAGTTTGCCCCTTGTTATCACTTGCAAAGTACAGTTCATAAATACAAGAAAGAAATTTGATTTTAACAAATGAAATATTATATTGCAAATGTACAACAAATCCCACAACTTAACTTTTGCACTTACCATTTTTTTATATTTTATTATGTAATAATAATAATAATATATAAAAATAATTTACTAGATATTAATAAAAGTCCACTCAAAAATCTGTCCAATCTGGGTATTTTCTCGTTAAACTAAAAAAGGTTTCTTCGAATTGCTTCTTTTCATTGTGATGAATGTCGATGATGGACTCACCATTTTTTCCGTTGACACTATAGATGAACATAAAATTTTCCATATTAAATCAATCCTAATACTGCCTTAGGAGTGTTTATCAGTTTTTGTGGGTTATCTTTCTAACTATACCTATGCTCCTATGAAAATGAAAAATGACAGCACCATTTAGAAACGAAATTTAGAAATATAAAAAATACTCGAAAGAAAAAGTGTAATACGATCATGTGTGGGAGTCGCACTCTCTCTTCTCTCAAGTTACCTTTCCATTTCCTGTCGCTCATATACTTAAAATTAACGAAGAAGCGGTGGAGGCACTTCTTGTTATGGAACAAAAACGAAAGCGAAACTTCCGACCCCAAACAATTTTCGCGCTCTTTTGATGTTTCCAAATCGCTTCGTATGATGCGCCCCGGTTGTCAAGTTGGCAACCCTGTGTTTGACGGCCGCTTCCAGGACTGCCCATGATAATGTGACAATTACCACTTGATATAAACAATTTTTATTTTTTTTTATTGTTAGGTACGTATAAAAAGAAATATGGGGAGAAAATCTAACATAAGACTTGAAATATAATTTTATTTCTGTTATTTTTTGTGAAGGATGCTCAAAAATTTAATATATAATATATATATATATATATATATATATATATATATATATATATATATATATATATATATATATATATATATATATATATATATATATATATTATATTTATATTTTTGTGTAGATGTTTTATAAATTCTCACAATATTTTTCCAAAACAAAACGAATAAAAACTGAACAAAATGATGTTATTAAAACTTTAAACTAAACAAAATTAAGCTAAGCTTTCATCCAAATATTATACCGACTATTAAAAAGTTAAAATTTAAATTAATGTATTTTGTATTTGTCGAAATGGGGGAGAGCGTTCCGTCTAAATCTTGTTGGTTGGCAACCCGAATCCCAGCTAATACTGCTAATAGTAGTTCTAGGCGCTTGCTTTTATTGCTAGTGGACTATATATTTATTTCAAACCGTGATTTCTTCACACTCTTGCTATTTATTAACTCGGATTTGGAAAATTAAAAAAAAAATACATCAATTGCAATATCTTCACTTTGTCTTATTGAGCCAAGTGAGAGTATGTTGACAAACCGGATTTCATGAAACAATTAATTCTTTCATTTAAATTCCCCTTGGCGAAATCATCTTATCGCTTATTTGAAATTCTGCACCTCGTATTTAAGCGTTGTTTACATTCGAAGCCGAGTGTAATTATTCGCCTTAATTATATACGGAACGGGACTTCTGCCGGTTCCAATCTGACACACAACGCAAACACACGTCGTAACCCTTCCTCATACTTATTTTAATGACTTTGACCTTTACTTCCCCACGTCCGACCATTAACCACCGGGGCGGCATTCCCTTATTTGCCACCCAAAGTACGGCACTCGCAGAAAAAAAAAGAGAGAATATTAATCGGGATCTAAATGAAGTTATTTATTCAAAGTCGTTTGGAGGTTTGCGGGAGACCGAAAGGAAAACAAATAAAACGGTGAAACGTGTCGGCTGGGGGGGTGGAGAGGTGAACCGACAGAGGTCCGTCAGTGTCGACGGACAGCGTCGCGACGCCCAAAACCGACCCATGTCCGCAGCAAAAAACCGACAAACCGTGGGTTAGACGCAGACATTTATCTTGTCGAACCCTTCCTATGGTTTCCCGCTTTCCCCAGTTATCTGTTTAAGGACGAAATATCGTTTATTGGATGCAGATTGTTCTAAAGCTGTGACTCGCGTTATTCTGGAGATTTTGTTTCAATTCGGTTAGTTGTTCTGGGTGTCAGTGAATCCAGCAGATTTTCGTTAAACGTAATCAAAGTTACAATTTATACTCTGAAATATATTATTTAAACATTATGACCCGTTGATATTGTCGATCTAATTAAAAGAAGAAATTATCTAAGGGGAAAATGTTAAAATGGTGGAGAACAACTGGGATCTAATTTCTTCTGCGTCGTATATAAAGTTTGCAACATTAACTGTAATGGATTAAAAGATTAACTTTAAGACTCATCAAATAGGTTCATTTATTGAATAAGTCATTCCGCTATACACTATTTAGTTTTCGCGTCCATATTGTGCGAGTAATACAACGCGCAGTTATTCGCGTCGCAGAATGTTTTAGTCATGATTAAAACCAATGAACAGGATGCAGTTCTATTTACTGGAGGAGTGACTATCCTATTTTCACTAAACAAAAAAAATATCTGTTGCGATTCTAGTGTCTAGCTTAATTTTTGCGTGACGCCGTGTTTAAGAGGGTGCGCCGTAATTCTCTTATAGTTATGGCCTCTTCAATTTCCTCTGGAATACTTACCTTTCTATTGTACACCATAATTTCTTTTGGGAAAATGGACGTAGGACACTATAATCAAATTTATGGAATTTCATAGGAAAGGTAGGAAACATTATGTAATCCAAATCCTGGTAGTGAGATTTCTTAGGAAGTTTTATAATGAAATACTCTTCGACAAATTTGGGTGTAACAGAATTCCTAAATTTACTAACAGGAAATTACTCCTCGTTCAAGATTCAAGATTCAAATTAGGTGGAGTCACCTTTCAAGGATCCCGAGATTGCATTTATCCTAATTCCGGTTTTTTGAGTTCTTATTTGGTACCACTTTTTTTCTTGTTTTCCACAATGGGCTCCCCATTCTCCAATTCGAGTTATCGAATTTGAGTGTTAATGCCATTACATATTATTAATGTCATTATTTCAATACTTGTGGAGTAGGTATGGCGTCGCCCGGGCCTGAATTACTTCATATGCCTGATATATTTCCGATTATACTTAAGATGTATACTAGAGAGGTATAGGGGAGTTATGAAGGTATAGGAGGGTAGTGGAGGTATATGGTGGTACAGGAGAGGTATTATAGGGTATGAGTGTCTATGGTGACTGGCTCCAT